TTAGTTAATATTTTCTAAATAAATTAATTTTAAAAGTGCCCAAAGAAGAAGAAATTTTCGCGGGACGTTGATTAGTGGAATTGAAAAATGCATTTTTATATAATTTAGATGTGGAATGACGAACATGCTCTCGTTACTTAGATTTCGATTGTTTATAATACCTATGTAATTTTATTGTTGCATATTTTTATTAATTAGTTGATACTGAATTTTATAATTATGTATTACAATAAAACGCTGTTTTTATGAGTATGACTTTATAAAATATTGTTGGAGAGGGAAATAAAGAAACAGATACTTACATTTAGGTACACTTTTATCAAATTAAATCAAACAATTTAAATAAATAAAAGAATGGTGCTTACCTAAGTATAAATAACTATATAAAGACATTCTTGGGTTTATGGTTTTTTTTATGTTTAACAAACTATCATCTAAAAAATGTAAAAATTTTAAATTGGGGAGGGGTTTCCTACGTGATAAAGTTAGAAATGAAGATATTTGCATTAGAACCATAGTAACTGACATAGCCCAACAGAATATTACAGTGAAATGGCAATGCGCTGGCTATATAACTTGGAAAACAGATAAAAAATAGGAAGAAAGGTCCTCGAGTGGCAACCTCGTACAGGTAAGCGAATTAGTACTCAATCTTTATTCCTCTTCACGTATTCTCATACGCTTTTCTTCACACATCCACACACACACACACACACACACACACACACACACACACACACACACACACACACACACACGCACACACACACAAATAGGTCGCAAATAATACTTACCTAGTACTATTAGGCAAGAGTGAATAGGTTTTTGTTAAGTCAGTGCAATTCACCATCTTAGACTATATAACCACTTACCGATGGGATTGTAGTTGCTTTACTACTTGCTGGGTAAAAATAGTAAAAAAAAATATCCTGTGAACGTTTGCATTTAGATATAATTTTTCTAACCAACCATAAAAACATGATGAGAATATGTATATAAGTATAAAGGTTGCCTCACACGGGACAGTAATAATATAATATTATATCTTCCATTATCAACGCATGAAAACTTTTAAAATCTCTGAATCCCGAGGTATGTTCATATTAAGAGGCTGAATAGAGCCACATTGATATGAATGGGGATCGTTTTGTAATTTCACGTCATTATCGAAAAAAATTGTACGTATTTCAGGTGGCGGTTTGCAAAACACGATTTCACAAAAATTAACTCAATAGAAAATAATTGCAAATTAATACTTAAACTTTAAAAAACAATACATAAATTTTCAACGTCAATTTATTCTTACGTGGTAGAGCCATGCTGCAGCTATATTAGTAGTAGGTATAGTTGTAGCACGAATGGGTCGGCTCGACCTGGCAAGGGCCACGCTCTCACGGAATAACATGTAAAATAGCAGTTTAACCCTGCTGTGTTTCGTTTGGTGAGTGTAGAGAACCGGAGAACCTTTTTACTGGAAACGAGGCATTAAATCTTAGTCCTCACGGGTGACAACGCGTCTACATTTTGATGCGTAATCGAGAATAGATGTAGATGTGTATGGACCGTAGCAACCACTTACCATCAGGTGGACTGTGTGCTCGTTTGTCACCCTTATTCTATTAAAAAAAACTTTACTGCGATTTCAGTAAAATAATGTTAAGTATTGTAAGCAATCGTACAATTATGTGTATCATGTTAATAAAGCTATTGGGCTCTTTTGATTTTTAATAAAGTGTTTTTACTTTATAGGTTAAATAATTTATTTACCTTTCTATATCATGAACCGTTTTTCTGTCACTCCTATTGAATTTGACAGTGCTTGCTGAAATTTAGCATCTTTAGATGGATCAAAATCGCGCGCTGATCCGACTGTTAGATATTTCAAAAATAATCGAAAATATTTATTTTTACTTTCATGCCGAATACAACCTTGTTTTATTTTATTACGGTCAAATACTATTTATTACTTCAATGCAAAACTAAGCACAAGAGATAACGGTGAGCTGAAAGTAGGGAAATTTGGAATAGGGTAACGGAACCCAAGGAGCCAGCAGCTGGCCGACTTCATGGAGAAAGAGGGACTCTTTATGATGAACTCTTTCTTCCAGAAGCGGCCCCACAGGAAGTGGACCTGGTCGAGCCCCGACGGTTCGACAAAAAATGAGATTGACTTCATTATGACGACTAGACGACAACTGTTCAGTGATGTCTCCGTGATCGCGAGGGTGAAAATGGTAGCGATCACCGAATAGTTAGAGGCACACTGAACCTAAACGTTAAGTTGGAGAGGTTGCGTCTAATGAAGTCAACGCTCCGTCCTCCTCGTGCTCTGTTCCAAAGACCCGAAACCTTTCAGCTCGCGTTACAAAACCGTTTTCAGTGCCTAGAAGACTGCAATGAAGTGGACGATATGAATGGCAAGCTCGTGGAAACTGTCCATGCGGTCGGAGCTAAGTTCCGCAAGACCCGCCGCAGAAGAACACAAAAACTCTCCGATCACACTCTTAATCTCATGGCTGTTAGAAGGGAGATGAAGCAACATTCTTCAACAGATTTGACAGCATACAGGCAACTGAACAAACAGATCTCCAAATGCATGCGGCGGGACTTACGCAACTTCAATACAGCTTGTATTGAAGAAGCGATCGAGCGGAACCAAGGCTCCAAAGTCTTTGCCAGAGATCTGTGTGCCAGAAAGAGCCAACTATCAAAGCTGAAGACCGAATGTGGCAGCATCGTTTCCGGGACACCTGAGATTTTGAGTGAGATTAAGAGGTTCTATGGGCAGCTGTACACGTCATCGTTGGAGCCACACGCAAGTGTGAGTAACGATCCAAGAGCGAGTCGCTTCTGAAAGCGGGTGGAAGACCGGTACTTGAAGTCCTTCAGAAGCGCTTTAATTCCGTCCTCCATGGTGGCATTACACCGGAGGCGTGGAGCAGAAGTGCGGTGATCTTGTTCTTCAAGAAAGGTGACAACGCTCTCTTGAATAACTACAGACCGATTTCCCTTCTGAGCCGCGTCTACGTGCTGTTTTCGAGAGTCATTACGAATCGTCTCGCGCGCAGACTTGACGACTTCCAGCCTCCCGAACAAGCCGGTTTCCGAAAGAGCTTTAGCACCATAGACCACATACATACCCTTCGGCAAATTGTACAGAAGTCCGAAGAGTACAATTTGCCACTCTGTCTGGCGTATGTGGACTATGAGAAAGCCTTTGATTCCGTCGAAATTTTGGCGGTGCTGCAGTCCCTTCAGCGGTGCCAAGTTGACTGTCGGTATATCGAAGTGCTGAAGTGCTTGTACAGTAGAGCTACGATGGCTATTCGAGTACAGAACCAGAGTACATCACCTATCCAATTGCAGAGAGGTGTAAGACAGGGTGATGTTATATCCCCGAAACTCTTCACCGCTGCATTGGAAGACGTTTTCAAACTTCTGGACTGGAAAGGATACGGTATTAACATCAATGGCGAGTACATCACTCACCTTCGATTTGCCGACGATATAGTCCTTATGGCAGAATCGCTGGAGGACCTAAGCACTATGCTCAATGACCTCAATAGTGTCTCCCAACGGATAGGTCTTAAGATGAACATGGACAAAACAAAGATTATGTTTAATGTCCATGTCACACCTATACCGATAGTTGTTGGGAGCACTAAGCTCGTAGTTGTTGATGAGTATGTTTACCTGGGACTAATAGTCCGACTAGGTAAGTCCAACTTCGACCGAGAGGTCAATCGACGGATTCAACTCGGCTGGGCAGCGTTCGGGAAGCTACGACACATCTTCTCGTCAGACATACCTCAAAACCTTAAAACGAAATTGTACAACCAGTGCGTGTTGCCAGTGATGACTTACGGAACTGAGACGTGGTCCTTTAATGCTGGCCGTATGAGGAAGCTCAAGGTCGCTCAGCAAGCTATGGAGAGGGCTGTGCTCGGGGTTTCTCTGCGTGATAAACTTAGAAATGAGTATATCCGCAGTAGAACCAGAGTAACCGACATAGCCCAACGGATTAGTAAGCTGAAGTGGCAGTGGGCCGGTCATATAGCTCGAAGAACCGACAGCCGATGGAGAAGAAAGGTTCTCGAGTGGCAGCCTCGTACCGGTAGGCGAAGTGTAGGGCGACCCCCCACGAGATGGAGTGAAGACCTGGTAAGACATGCAGGAAGTCGATGGATGCAGGTGGCTCAGGACCGTGCTTTGTAGCATTCCTTGGGGGAGGCCTATGTTCAGCAGTGGACTTATGATAGGCTGTAATGATGATGAATGATGACTATTTATTAGGTTATAAAGCAAGTATTTTTGTAAATGTTGTGTATGTAAATGTAAATGTTTTCATTATTTTGTTATTCCATTGTTTACAGTTATTATCACGTCTTAGCTTTACACCAAGAATTACATTAGAAATTCTTGATGGGATGCGATGTGCGATTTTTACCAGTAGAGTTTCAACAAAGTCTTTAAAAAGTTCAATGAATTAAAAAAATGCCAATAATTGTATAATTTCAAGTCAGTGTTTTACATTTAAAGATCAGTTATAAAGAGCCAAAGTTATTATTTTCATTTTGATTAATTTAATTCGAGACTAAAATAAATGTGAAAGGGCTTTTATCTGCAATAATAATTTTCATCAAAAATAACATAGACTTATAAAAGTCATACACACTGTCAATCATACTGAAGATTATCAATTGTACTACAAAATATTTAAAAGACTATTTTCAGTATAATGACCCGAATATAATCATTAATGTTTGACTGGCACACTTAAAAGTTTTTCTTTAATGTTTAATCAACACTTTTTTATTTTGTATTATATTAAATTATATTTACAGACAACAGCAAGATTAGACAAGTGGCAAAGGTGTTTGGGTATTAAATTAAAAGCCACTGATAATATTTGCCATCTTCATTTTAAAGAAGAACATATAAAATTGTACGATAAGTTTATGATTGACGGAGAGCTCAAGATTTTTCCAGCAGTGAAAAAAATGCTAAAAAATGAAGCATTGCCAACAATCGAGCATCAATTTATTCCAATACCAGCATATGAGCTCCAAGCAAGTATTATTGAACCACAAAAATCAATTTCATGCCACAATCACAGTGGAGACGACCAGCAGGATAGTATGCAAAACAGCAGCATTGAGCAACATGAATTATTTGATTATCTGTATAATCCTAATAATGCTACAAATTACAATGAAGAAATGGAACAGGACTTGGAAGAATCTCTGTTGAGTCAGCAGTCCAATGATGATTTAAATAATAACGTAGCAAAAGAAACAACTATACAACCAATAGAGAGTTTTAGAGATATCCTGAAATGTCCAATGCTACCATCTTTTTGGATGCATGTAGAGAAACCAGACGGACTAGAATTTCTGCGAATGGATCCATCAACCAAGGAAACAAAAAATTATATACGTCTAAATGAGGATTTATCAGTTACTGTAAGTATTTGTTAATTAATGTATGGATAAAGTAATTAATTTTTTACTACTAGTAGATCCTATAAAGGTTTCTTTTTCCTTTTGAGGTCGGAACGCTAAAAAGGACAATTGTTGTATGTGTAGTTTTTTTTTTGTTCACTCTGATAAGAGTAAAGCGCTGTATAGGTATATGACAGCGGCCGCGATTGCCTTAACGTCCATCATGATCTAGCTACCAACGCAGAATGAAAGACGCCAACGTGTGAACGGCACCACGAAAATCTGCCGAGTGCGCTCGCCAAGCGCGCTCGGCCAACGTGTACTGGAGCCATAACACAAGGCTGCGAAATCACCGAAAATTTCGCCATTTTGGAGCCGAAAAAAATTAATTATAACTAAATAAAACAAAATTACACTGCCATTTACATTCAGTGGCTTCCCACATGATAGATGAAGAGATTAAAAAATAGATTGAGTTAAACAATTGATATTTTCAAAAGTTAGAGTGTTTACAAGCCTTGCGGACTTGATAAATCCACACCATAAGCCACTAAAACCCCTTTTTTATCTAAAAATAGCAATTAATCGATTTAAAAAAAAATATTAATAAGTTCAACAGTCATTTATCTTTCTGACAATGTGCTTTTTATATCATTTATATGTATATTATGATTGCTGGATACGATTTCATGCGGCAAAACGTTGGAATTTTGATTTTTAGGCGATAGTAGAACATACCTATGCGCTTTGCGCTCGGCATGCAATTAAGTTTGCATGACAAAAACTGTGAAATTTATAATCTCGTAATGAGGCCATCCACAACTTTTTCTGCCACTAGGGCGGCGCCACTAGAAAGTGAGGTATAATATTTGACAGATTTAATAGCCGGGAAGTTAATTTGTTTAAAAAATGTAAGAGTTATTGTTTCTTTTTGTACTATTAGCTATATTTTATATTAATAACATTAATAATAAATAAACCAAACCCTAGATATTCATAAAAGTATAAAAATTAAAAAAAAAAGTTAAAAATGTGCAAAAAATTAAAAGAACAAGCCACTGACGCATTGTTTTGTGTATTAATATAATACTCTAGAACTACAACTAATTAGAATTATACTTTTCTAGGCAATTTTGGATTTCTTACAATTTCTTGAAGATTGGGAGAAAGTAGAAAAAAAACCTGTATCAAGGAATACGTTACTAGGATTAAAAGTAACATTGCACGCAACACTACAAATATCGAAAATGTTATACATGGAATGTAATTACGAGTATTTAATGACAGCAACTTTGTCACAAGATCCTTTAGAGGTAATTATACAACATACAATATACAATTTTATATTCAATTATAATTGATTTTACTCATTTTATTTCTTTATAAACAATTATTTATTTGGAATTTCAGAGATTCTTTTCTGTAATGCGACATTCGTGTGGAGGAAACGACCACCCTGATCCAAAAATGTTTGCACAAGTGTATCGTTTGGCTTCTTGTTTTTCTCTTGTACGTTCTCCAAAAAGATGTAATGTATCAGGGAAAGACCTGCTAAAAACTTTATTAGGAGCTCAAGGAATTTTAAGTTCTCCCAATAAAGACAAGGAAATATGGCTTCAAAATATTGATATTATGGTTGAAAGTTCTGAACCATTATTGGAAGGTTCTTTAATCGATGAATACCACGATTACAATGAGGCTGTAACCAGCGATGCCGTTCAATCATACATTGCTGGTTACATAGTCCGCAAATTGCGAAAGACTACGAAGTGCGTGAATTGCTTACAAGCTTTACAAATGAAAGCGGGAGATGGTAGACAATTACAGAGAAATGATGTCATTAATAAAATGGATTTATATGGTGGACTCATATATGCAAGCAATGAATTATTTGATTTAACGAAACAATTAAAAAAGTGTTTTGAGAACTATTAGTAAAACTAACCAATGTTGACAATATGAGTCAAATATCGCGAGAGCTAAAAAAAGAAGTTTTGCTAAGAGTAGGTTGCTTTCAACATGAAAAAGAACTGACTGTTAAAATTATTGATTTTTATGTAGTGATGAGATCCTATTTTTTGGCTAAATCTGAAAATAAACGCTATGAAGCTGCCAAAATTAAGACCAAAGCAAATAGGAAAAATGCCAAACTACTGTCATAACTACACATCAACTTGTTATTAATAAAAAAATGTTTAACTATAAATATTGTTAAAGATGTTTATTTATATAATTTAATAATATAAATCGTTGAATATCTCTTTAACCCGCTTGTTGATTTATTTTACATTTACCCTGAAAAATGCCAACCTACTATCATAAGTACACAACTTGTTATTAATAAAGAATGTGTAACTATAACTATTGTTATCAGTGATTGTTATATCATTTCTATTATGAATCGTTATAAGTTATAATTGTATAATTTATCATTTTTGTTTTATATTATTATTTTTTAATTATCAAACATAAAATAGATTAAAAGTCATTGTGTTGTTTATAAGAATTATCATAGATAATTTTCTCAGTTTATTTCTAATTTAGAATTTGAAATATTTACAAAGAATTAATTCACTCATCAGTAATATTTATAACAGCGTTTTACTTATTTTCATATTAAAAAGTATTTGCATTGTATAATTCTTACACAATCAAACTGTTGTGCTAAGTTCAGGTTTGATAGGTAATAGGGATAGGCTACCACCATTGTGCGATATTATAAAAACATAAAAACGATTGCAATAATTATTGAATGCAATTCGTGTTGTGAGCACTAGTAAAGCAAACAACAAGTAATCAAGTGTGTTATTACTCTTCCTGCGACTCCCGTAATACTATTGTTGAAAATGTAATCGTTTATTTATATAATTTAATAATATAAATCGTTGAATAACCCGCTTGTTGATTTATTTTGCATTTACACCTTATTTATTCCATAAGACTTTTTATTTTTCTTTCAACAAATAAATTTCTAACAAGTTAAAATAATTTCAAATTTTACTTGTAATTCCCTCAATATATATATATATATATATATATATATATATGTGTGTATATATATATAGTAGTAAACATAATATATTTATTATTATTATATTAATAATCATTATTTTTTTTATAATGTGTATTTAAGTTGGCGATTTACCTTCATATACTTAACTAGGCTAACAGGACTAACAGGAAAGTTTTAAAACAAATGTACAAAATGCAAACAAATATTACAAATAAATGTACAAAAGCAACGTCAAAAATTAATAATTTTACAGATAGTTTCATAGTGAACGGCACACGCCACCAATGTCAAGTGCGTAATTGTTTGTATTGTAAACAAAAGTTGCCTAAACGAAATATAATGTGGTGAAACAAATCTAAGTCTAGTGCCTAATGTCCTAAAGATCATTTAAATCTGACAACTCTCACAACTACACAAACTTAAAAATTAGGCAATTTTAACCATTTAAAAGTCGACCTTATTGTTAAGACTCTTATAATTATATTTCACTACGTGACCCGTTTTATGATCAACCAAAACATCGCAACGAAATCCATATTCGCTTCATCTCTTTCATACGTATTTATGATACTGTCGCTAGAACGAGAAACAACGAATTTCAAAGGACATCGGTTAGTTTTGGTTTTGGGACGTTTTCGGTTTTTGGCGTATCGTTACAGTTTGCGTTTTATGTTTCGTACGTTGGTTAGTTAATTTTGGGTTTTGGTTGGATATGTGATAACGGTCATGTTCTTAGGTTATTCGATATGATATGATATTTGATAACATAACGTTATTACGTTTTGATATATCGGTCTCATGCCTAATATACAGAGATGGTCCATATATAGCTTGCTACATATATATTTATCTATGAGATGGTCCTCCTTCTACTCTATACTAGCTTGCTACATATATATTTATCTGAGTTTTGGCGGGAAATTGACCGGCGGCGGTTTGTTGCTCCTGTATTATTGTTTAAATAATGGTTTGAAGTGGACTTTGATATGTAAAAGTGTTGCGATTTTGTGTATTAAGTGTCTACGCATGTGAACTATTAGTGGAAACAGTGAAACAAGTGCTCTGATGGTGATGGATTCTCAAGGTAAGCTGTTTGTTTGCATAGGCACCTTTAGATACCATCGCCAACTATCAGCTGTCTGCTGGATCAAGTTGCCGCCAAAATCTCCCAAGAACTGCACAATGTGACGCATCAACATATTGTGAAGCAGTATACTATGAAGGAGTGGGGAAATTACAATAAACCGAATAAAAATACTTAAGACTTGGCCTAAAGGTCTAGATACCAGGCCATAAACTCCAAAAAAAAAAATATATTTATCTATGCTCTATACTCCATGGTCCATGTTAAGAAGTAAGATCAAATTGTCAAATCTTTTATTAAAAATAAACAGTAAATAAAATTTATGTTTCAGTAGAATTCGAAATATAATGTTTAATGTAACACGTTAAAACATAAGCAGCAAGTTAGAAAGATAGATATATAGATAGAAGTATAGTATTATAATAATTTTGGTTAGTTACTATTTTAAAGAACGAAATATTAACCATTAAAATATGATGGAACATATACGGCAGTTTGATTGGTAAGTAAATACTTTCTAGAAAAATAATCGAGTACCAGTGACATCTTCTCACACAAATTTTCTATAATTAGGGATATCTTGGTTGAACACCATAATCCTGGTGCATATTATGGTGTTCAACCATAATATAAGACTTGTCTATGGTTATGATGAAAAACAATTACATCAAGTACATATACCAATTAATTTTTGTACATACCTACATTTTCGATATTTTTGTGATCCGCTACCCCTTACTATTAACATGGGAGAGATGATGAGTGCACGACTATAGTTCTTATGTCACCACAATTTGAACTCTCGACGTGATGAGCCGAAAAGTATAAAATTTTTCGATATCTCGCTTAGTTACCGAGATACTCAAAAATCGAATAATAAAACTGAATCATCAACGCCCCGAATCCACATAGTCTTGTCTGCCCTACCCCTAGAGTGTTTGTGTGAAGCTGTAGGTGCTGAAGGAGTGCAGCCTCCGCCCGCTGTAGCAAATAACAGGCACCTGTGTGAGCTGAGGCTGGTAGGAACCGTAGAGTGAGAGTGGTTGGAGTAGGGACTCCCCTTGGAAAATTTCATAATTATAGTTCAATTTGAATCATTTTGGTACAATTCTTTTTAAATAGAAGGGGAAGAGTGGAATGGGCTCAAAAATACATATTTTTTTATTGAAATACCGGTCAATACTAGTTTTGAGCAAATCTGCAGTCACAATTACTTTTAACTGCAGTTTAATATTATTATTATCACATTCTGATTGATTACATTTAAAATAAATGTAATAAATACCTAAAACTAGTTTTTGGTACTTATGTAATAAAAGAAGAAACCAGAGGTTTAATGACTATTATTTAATATAACTTTATCATCTCCACTGACCTGTAAACAGACAGCATTTCTTATGATTGCCATGATTAACAAACCAATTAGCACTATCAGACATTTAACACCGTAAACATTGACACTGTGTTGATCTGAATAATCACATAATAAAGGTGTTTAGATCATCATAAAAGACAAAATACATTCTGAGTATTTCACTTAGCTGTTACAACACCCAAGGCATATAAAGCAGTAACTGATTCTCTAGCGGAACTACCATCCAAAGTTAATAAAAACAAAACACAATATTGACCTGACTAATAAAATTGAAATAACCTTAAGAAGTGCTTAAAGTTACTCTCCATCTCTTCACTAACAATAGAAAGAGATAGGTGTACAGATAATTAAATTTAAACGTGGTAGAGCCATGTTGCAGTAGTATTTATTGTATAGTTGTAGCACAAATGGGTCGGCTCAACCGGGGAAGTAAAATAGCAGCTTAATGCTGCTGTGTTTCATATGGTGAGTGTAGTGAACTGGAGACGCTTTTTACTGGAAAAAAGGCATTCCGTCTTAGTCTTCACGGCTGACAATGCATCTGCATTTTGATTCGCAAGGAGGATAGATTTAGATGTCCATGGCCCACAGCAACCACTTACCATGTGGTGGATTGTGTAATCGCCTTTCACCTTTATCCTATAAAAAAATTATACATTAGTAAGCAATAAATTATTATAAGTAAGGTAATTTATGTTTTAATTAAGTAACTAATTTCTGTTCCATAGTTAAATAATAATAAAGCAATCTGTCTTAGGTGTTATTCAGAGCCTGATCGTTACTTTGTGAATGAGGAAGACTTAGACAATTGTGTGACTGAGAAAATCCTTAGAAACCAGTTCCATAATCCTATGGCTTCAAGTGATTCGGAGGATGAAAAACCTACTTTTGATTGGGATAAAATATTTTCACGCGATGAAACTGTAAGTATTTTGGAGGCGTTCCATGATGTCGAAAGCTATCATTGGATTAATACAGTTTCATAAAAGTTTGTATAAACTCAGTTGGCAACTCAATTGCACATTGGTTAGTCATTTTTATTACATAAAAGAGATTGTGAGAGTTTCTGCAGAGAATGATAAAGAAACGGCACAAATATGTTATATATCTGCTCCAGATGGAGACAGACAATGTTTCCCTCAAAGATTACCACCATTGATTCAACCAGTGGCTTAACAGTCCATACTATAATTTTTCTTAGAGGTATTAATATGTCAAGACAGTTTGTCCATGTTGCAGTAGATGTCGCTTTTTTAAATTTAGCCATGCTGGGCCAATTAAGAATCAAACAAATTAATGAATAGTTCAAAATATAATCGAACATTGCTAACTTACTATTTTGTTACAAAACAAATTTGTAATTAAATTTTTAGTGTAATTGATTTATTTTACATTTATTCAAGTGAATTATTATGATTTCGCCGTTGCAAATTGTTTTCTCCGTTTATCTATGGCAAGACCCGGAGGGAGAGATCTATGGTCATTTCGGTCTGTCAATGTTACAAATGTCATTTATATTTTATTTTATTTTATACATACAATAAAACAAAAGAAACTAAAACTAGTAGTTTGTGTGAGTGTAAAACTAGTAACTTCATTTAACGTAATTTAATTTGTCTGTTTGTCATTACATTTCCTTTCGTGGTTTGTGAATGTGCTCTGTTTGTGTTTATAAAACTTTAACAACTTTGCTTGATTCCCGGACTCTGAAGACTTCGCCTTTTTCGTTGAACTTGCGCATGAAACTCTGGACCCTGATTTGCTTAACTATTTGTGCTCTGTTGACCTGGATTGTGGCTTCTTTTGAGAGAAGTTGTTGTGTACTATTATAATAAAACGAAGCATTATAAAAAAAACATCCAACCGCTAAATAGTTGTTTTATTTGCCTAAATTATATTGTATACAAAGTAATTTCCAAAAGCCAAATCAATATTAAAATGGTTTGACTTTTGGAAATTACTTTGATAATAAATAATAAATATTGTAATATAGAGCATCCTTCGTCGTCGCTGGGCTGTAGGGACGTCGTATATCGCTAGATGGCGCTAATGCTACGATTCTAAGTGATGACTCTATTCCCTATATATAATGTACTCTGTGGATTCAACACATTTTTAACCACCCTATTATATATTTATATATATTTTGTGAAAATAAGTAATTTTAAAGCCACATATGGCATACCATTATAAATGTTATAAATTGTAGAAGTTATTACAATTTTTTATTTCAATATACTGTCAAATTAACTAAAGATTTTTTGCCCATTTAGGAACTTTGCTAACTCACAGTAATCTATACAAATAAATAAAATTGAAGTGTCTGTTTGTAATGTCAAAATTACAGTTTTTTACTAAATGCATATGAAAGTAAATACGATACCTATAACTAAAATACAATTTTTAAAATTTTTGTCTGTCTGTCTGTCTGTCTGTCTGTCTGTTTGTTCCGGGTAATCTCCGAAACGGTTGGACCGATTTTGACGGGACTTTCACTGGCAGATAGCTGATTTCATAAGGAGTAACATAGGCTACTTTTATTTTAGAAAAAGAATCAGGGTTCCGCGCAGAAACATAAAAACCCTAACACGCGAACGAAGTCGCGGGGAACAGCTAGTTGTTTACATAAAAAATACTATGTGTTAATACAATTAAAAAAGTTATTCTGGCTCCATGTTCACAATAGAGTTCAGGTGAGTGCAGGTGGCCGGAGGGCCAAATCCCCCCCCCCCCCCCCCATCAACATGGTAGTGGAATTGAATAAAAGACTGCCCCAGGAGGGTACCAGCACCTCTGGAGAATCCCTCGCTGAGCATCCACGACCAAACTACTTCACTCCTGAGCGTGGATGCTCAGGCTGCCCCACGTTTTTTTGGGGGGGGGGGGGGGGGGGCAAAATTCCGCTCGATTCCGACTATCCCTGCGTCTACGGGTGCCTCTACAGGTCCCATAGCGGTAATGCCGACACAGACCGACTCATCAACCACGACCAAATAGCTGCAGACTCCGTGCTACAACAGGTCCCATCCGCAGAGATTGTGATACTCGGTGATTTTAACGCCCACCACGCTGAATGGCTTGGTTCTCGTTTAACCGATCATGCGGGTAGATCTGTCTATGACTTTGCTTTGGCATATGGTCTAACACATCTGGTTACTTCGCCTACGCGGATCCCAGATGTGGAAGACCTCTCATCCAGACGGATATCAGGTCTCCGTCGATGCCCTTCTGGGCTCTTCGGACCATTGTCTGATCCGGAGTAGGGTGCCACTCATGCTCCAATCGCAGTTGCGATCTGCAGTTTGCCGCCGTGTTTGGCACTATAGGTCAGCTGATTGGGACAGGATGCGGTCTTTTTTTGCATCCTACCCTTAGGGTAGGTTTGCTTCTCGCCGGAAGATACCGGCGTTGTTGCCGATTCTGTTGCTGATGTGGTACTTCAGGGTATGGAACTTTTTATTCCATCCTCTGTGGTGCCCATCGGAGGCAGATCCCAGCCATGATTTGGTCGCTCCTGTAAAATAGCATCACGCCATAAGCAGGAGTGCTACCGGGCCTGGGCTGACGCTTCAACGTCTCGGGATGTAAACACCAGTGCACTTAAAAAGAAGTATAACTCCGCCTCCAGGTCCTTCAAAAGCGTCATTGCCAAGCCAAGGTCTGAGCACATCGGCAGAATTGGCGAGAAGCTAGTTCGCCTTCCTTCGGGGACCCGTGCATTCTGGTCTCTCGCCAAGGCTGTCTAAGGGAACTTCTGTCAGCCATCTCTTCCATCTCTGCACAGAGAGGACGACTCACTGGCCCATGCCGCAAAGGAAACAGCCGATCTGTTGAACTCTCTTTTTGCGTCCAACTCGACTCTAGATGACGGGGGAACACACCGCCGACCATCCCGCGATGTGAGTGCTCCATGCCGGATGTGCGGTTTACACAGCGCTCGGTTCGCAAAGCACTCTTCTCCCTGGACGTCAGCAAGTCGAGTGGGCCTGATGGAGTCCCTCCCATTGTGCTGAAGACATAGCGAAGGCCTTCGATCGGGTCTGGCACATAGCGCTTCTTTCGAAGCTTCCTTCCTATGGGCTTTCCGAGAAATTGTGCAAATGGATCACCAGTTTCCTTGCTGATCGGAGCATCAAGGTCGTAGTAGATGGTGCATGCTACGATTTCAAGCCTATCACCGCTAGTGTTCCACAAGGCTGCGTGCTATCACCAACGCTGTTTCTCCTGCATATCAATGATATGTTGCTAACTGGTAGCATTCATTGCTATGCAGACGACAGCACTGGTGATGCCTTATATACCGGCCGTGCCAATATTTCTCGGGAAAACATCGCTGAGTATCGGGACAAACTTGTGTCTGAAGTCGAGTCTTTGCTTAACAAAGTCTCGGATTGTGGTCGACTAAATCTAGTCCAGTTCAATGCCCAGAAGACACAAGTTTGCGCGTTTACCGCTAAAAAGAACCCCTTTGTCGTATCTCCTCAGTTTCAAGGCACTCCCCTTGCTGCCTCAGCTAGTATCGGAATCCTTGGCGTCGACATATCGAATAGTGTGCAGTTTCGTGGTCATTTAGAAGGGAAGGCCAAATTGGCCTCTAAAAAGCTTGGCGTGCTCAGCAGAGCGAGACAGTATTTCATGCCGGCACATCGTTTGCATCTTTACAAAGCGCAAGTTCGGCCCCACATGGAATACTGTTCTCATCTCTGGGCCGGGGCACCCCAGTGCCAGCTCCTTCCACTTGACCGCATCCAGCGCAGAGCGGTTCGAATCGTCGACGACCGAGTTTTTTCTGATCGGCTCAATACACTGGCACTGCGGCAATGCGTAGAGATGTTGCATCTCTTTGCGTATTTTATTGCATCTATCACGGGGAGTGTTCTTAGGAATTGTTCGGACTAATTCCAGCCGCTCAATTTCACCATCGCATATCGCGACAAAACTCACGTTATCATCCATACCATCTGGATGATTGGCACCACTGTGCGATTTAGAAGAAGTTTTCTCCCTCGCACAACTTCCTTGTGGAATCAATTACCACCAGCGAATTTTCCGGACCGATACAACTTAGGAACCTTCAAGAAGAGAGCTTACACCCTTCTAAAAGGCCGGCAACGCATCTGCAATTCCCCTGGTATTGCGGTTGTTCATGGGCGGCGGTAGTCACTTACCATCGGGTGAGCCGCATGCTAGTTTGCCCCCTCTTCTATAAAAAAAAATATGGGGGAGACCCGTGTTCAGCAGTGGACTTTAATAGGCTGTAACGGACAACATCCATTTAGATTTTTATAAATAACCATCAGTGACCATTTATTTTATCAATTTTTTCATTTCACAAAAAAATCTCCAAAGAGTTGTTCCGAGTATATATTATAGCTAAGAGCACTCTTGGCATTGCTTTCTGTTTGTTAAGTTTCATCAAAATTGGTTTTGATATTCTGTATCTTCAGACAGACAAAAATTACCACCTGAGTTTGATAAAAGGCATTCAATATCACAGACAGATACTTTAATTCTATTTACATGTGTAGATTATACTTGGAACGACATGTGAACGCAGGAAATCGAGTGAATGGGGCTCTACACGCTATTATGAAGAGTCAGAATGTGTCAAATAAGACACATATGGCAATTCATAATGCTGTGTTAAGTCCCTACTTTAATGTATGGTAGTGAAAGTTGGGTCTGGCAGTAGAAGCATGAGAGTAGAATTAATGCTGTAGAAATGCGGTCATTAAGGAGTATGCTAAGGCTGAATCTGAATGACAGGATGAGAAATAGTGTGATAAGAGAAAAGTGTGGTTTGCAAGATGACGTTGTGACCAGGATTAAGAAAGAAATGCATCGCTGGTTTGGTTATGTAGAAAGAATGAACAAGGAAAGAGTGACAAAGCAAATTTATGTAGCAGAAGTGAACGGCAGGGTCGAGAAGGGACGCCCTAGACGAAGGTTTATCGACCAAATCAGCGATACATTGAAAATGGGCCAGATTAGAAGTACCCTTAACCGACGAGCGTGTATGCGCGTGCGTGTTTGTGTTTGTGTGTGTGTGTGTGTTTGTGTGTGTGAGTGAGTGTGGGAGTGTGGGAGTGTGTGAGTGTGTGTATTATACTTGGATATGAATCAAATTTATGTTTTCAGAGTGACAAGCAACATCGTACCTTCGTGCCGGGACTTCGTGGATTACCCCCGTTCCCGAAGTTGTCTGCTCTTACACATCAACAACATTACCAATGTCTTAAGGTTCTGTGTGCTCAGAGTCCTCACATTTTGGTCCAGGAGTTTGTACCTAGGCCTACCAAGCAGGATTATAAAGTATTTGAAGTAAGTAACCGTAAATTTGAGCTTAGTGCTAATTACCGGCATAGGTGTGACATAGACATTACACATGATCTTTGTTTTGTCCATGTTCATCTTAAGACTATAAGACACAAAGTTTTTTCGAGTGGCAGCCTCGTACCGGTAGGCGAAGTGTAGACCGACTACCCACTACATGGAGTGACCTACTGGTAAAACATGCAAGAAGTCGATGGTTGCAGTTGGCTGAGAACTGTGCTTTGTGGCATTACTTGGGGGAAGCCTATGTTCAGCAGTGTACTTGTGAAGGGCTGTAATGATGATGATGATGAACTGTAAATTCCTCATTTTCTCCTCTGCACAAAGTCACGCCTGTCAGTAATAAGGATAAAATAAATCTTTAAAATCAGTAGTTAATTTTTTCTTAATGTTGATTATTATAAATTTTTAAAGTGAAACTTCTTTAGCACGGTATTGTGAATTGGCCTGTATCGAAGGAAAAATGATTTTCTCCTCTTTCCCAGTTTCAACTGACAGATGAAAGATTAGGAGAGTTGTTTCTACTATCTCCTTTGTAGATGTCATAAAGTCACTATAATGTTAATATGTAGCATACAGAATCAGTAGACTCTTGCATATTACACATCACGGTTAGCTGAACACATTTTAATATTTATTAGTTACTAACTGGCCTGAAGGACCTTGTTCTGCACTTTTCGGCTGATGGTAATTTTAACAGTGTAAATATGAAAATTATGAATAACCCTACCATCAAAATTTTTATATGTGGTAGAGCCATGCTGCAGCTATATTTGTAGTATAGTTGTAGCACGAATGGGTCAAGTCAACTCGACCAGGGAAGGACCACGCTCTCACAGAATACCAGCGTAAAATAGCTGCTTACCGCTATTATGTTTCGTGTGGTGAGTGTAGAGAACCGGAGACCCTTTTTACTGGAAAAGAGGCATTCTATCTTAATCCTCACGGGTGACAACGCATCTGCATTTTGATTCTTTATTGAGGATAGATGTAGATGTCTGTAGGTCACAGCAACCACTTACCATCAGGTGGACTGTGTGCTCGTTTGTCACCCTATCCTATAAAAAAAACGCCACCTATTATTGAGGAGTCCACATTTAGTAACTTCCTTTTTTAGCAATAAACCAACATATAGAATTAAGGTTATTTTGGTCTTTAAGTATTATAGAATTTGTTAATAATTTGACTAAAGTCAGATTTTAGCATAACTTTAAACTATCGTCTCAACATAAAAAAAAAAAATATTAGGTGAGAATGATCTCAATCGGTACGATTATACAACATGTCTCGAAACTCACGTCAAGCGGGCATGGGGAGGGGACTCCCCCCGGAGGTTGTCATACCAGCCCCGGGGAAAAAAACATCATATCAGTTAGTTCAGTTATAGCTGACAAATTTATAGAAATGAAGAAAATCGACACCTGAAATCATATCATTAGATATTTTGACCACAAATTTCTCAATTTTGCAGTGATTTTTTCACAAACATGGTGTAAAGTAAACGTGCTATTAATCGCAGTCACAAATCAAGCAAAAAGAAATGTTGCTAGGTTGGTTAAAATTAACGTAGTTTCTTTTAGTCGTAGTTGGAAAAATAAGGTCACCTAAATTTGACTCTTCATTAAAAAACATACTGTACTACCCTAGGCACGTTACTTTAAAAGATGGGCCATTTATCTTAGATTTCAAAATGGTATAATACGTATAACTTTTCACCCTTAAAAAATAAAATTAATTTTGGATTTTCTGAAATAGTATGGTCCAACCGTACATTTCTTCTGCGTTAACATTTCACGCAATGTATAGCGTTTGACAATTACAAAAACTGAGTTAGTTCACGTTTCCACCGTAACCGCGACGGACGCGAACACATTAACATAACATTTAGCATTCAACATATTTTAATCTTATATTTTTTACTTGTTTATTAAACTTAAAACAGTTTAGTAACATAAAATTTAAATTATTATTGAACATTCGTCCAATACCCGAACAGAAATACCTAAAATCAAAACAGTTCCCTAAACACCTACACTACAATAAATTTTCATTTATTAAATATTGAATTCAACAACTTCAAATAAGACAGAAATGTTTTAGAATGAAACAGATAATGACGCCATTTCATGTGAGTTAGAGTGAGACAGAGATGCTATTTGATATTCGACCAAATTATGTTAGATTCGATTCAGATCTCTAAAGAGTCTTATAACATTTATATTGGTATGAGCTTCAAACGAACACAGTCCACCTGGTAGTAAGTGAAGTAAAGGGCACAAAATATTTTCCTGCACCACTGAGTACGCAACTTCTTACACAATGCTAATTCGTAATGCATGTTCTTCTGGTACCATTGGCGACTGGGCGACAAACATGTTCAGACATTATTATAAAATATAACATAACATAAACATTCACGTCTGTCACCCAGAGGGGTAGGCAGAGATTATGGACTTCCATTTGGCACGATCCTGACACACCTCTCTCGCTTCCTCCACATCCATATACCTACGCATACACGCTCGTAAAAAAAAAAAAAAGAAAAAAAGCCGAAGGAACTGACTCGGCTCCTCGCCGTGTGGTAGCGGCGTAAAAAATACCACAACTTACTTTTGCACCATGAGGCAAAACATTAACATTATAAAATATACTTTTGTAATTAGCCATCACGACAAGTAAATAGACATGTCACATTAAAATGTTTATTTGATATTAAAATAATCTGATTATATATCAATATTTTTTTCCAATTCTAGGAAGTCCAAGCAATTTATGCTAAAGAACAGAAAGAATTTATTGAATGGGCAAAATCCCTTTGGACAACTGGACACTGCATAAGAGCTCTACGACCCAAACCACCTGTGGAATCTGCATATGAAGCCGAGTATCAAACGAGGGCCAAAGGACTGGAGTCCTTTCCCAAAAATTATCAGATGGCTGCTCAAATACCATTGGAATCTAATAATGAGAAATTTGAGATGATGTTTGAGAAGGAGCTGATAAGTGTACGTTTTTTACTATTTCTATATTGTAAAACAATCTAGGTGGTAGGATAGGTTTCGTTTTCTGACTAAAAATTCATTCCGGAGGCAATCAGTGCCTTTTATTATTCTTGTTTGCTCAGGGGAACAGAAAAGAATTTTCTTTTTCAGTAAATATTGCAGAATGATTATTGAAAATAATTTATGCTTTTATCACTACTTTGGAAAAAACTTCTGTCCTAGGGAGAACCAGAAAGACGTCCAACAACCTTTCAAAAATTTACATTATAAAATTAAATTTTAATTTATATTTCCAGGGGTTTTATCAGTCTTGTACTCTTTAATGGTATAATAGCCATTATAAAACAATTTTTGTTTAATAAATTTTTTAAACTTTATGATAAATAGTTTCTGTATATTTTCTGAGAAGCCCCATGAAGGAATTCCTTACTCTTTGGAGTCGAGTAACTGGCATTACTTGCTTGTGCTTGTTCCGAGTATTCACAGAATTTAGATTATAATTTTTTTATCAAATTATATAGTCTACCTTTTTAATTGGTATAAATTTTTAACATTCAATATTTTAATTGCTGTCTATAGGTGGATATATCAGTGCTACCTCAAATAAAAAGTCCAGAACCGATAAGGAGTCGGTTATCCATAATGTCACCGATTGCAGTACCTGAGCCTTGCACAAAGCACCCTTGCCGGTTCGTGTTGCCAAGTAAGTTTGAGCTATTGTAATGAATCATATTGCTAAGTGCGGGATGAGTAAAAATGCCGATTAGGATGAGAAACGAATGTACGCAAGCATGCACGCACACGCACGCACGCACGCACACGCACGCACGCACGCACACGCACGCACGCACACGCACGCACGCACACACGCACACGCACGCACGCACACATACACACAGCAAGTATACAATTACGACGTCCAAAATCGCTAAGCTTATTCAGTGTGGTTCCTTAATAAACGCAGATGTCGTAGGTCGATTGCTCGTAGATTCCCGAAGTAGAGTTCATTTTCGCGTTCCCGAAATAATCAATTCTCCTATCGCAGGCACACGCTTTTATACTCAATAAGAGGAATATAGAACTTTCTATATATTTTAATAATAAAAGAACATATCAGTGATGTGAAGCACCGATGCTCCGGAAAGTTTGCAGTATTTCAACATGTTCACAATCGTCCCAACCATTATATAAGATTTCATAGACCATCCTCACAAAAAAACACAGATTCCTACCAAGGATGATTCCTTGAGGCTACTAAAATTATAAAAGCATTCTAATTTCAATAGAGAAGCTGGCTGGGTGCTACCATCTGATATTAAATCTATTCTAATCTGAAATTAAAGCCAAACCAAGCATCCTACTGCAAGACTTCAAGACACTATAACTTCGTTCTGCATATATCGAAGCAAAAATAATAATAATTAAAAGGTATCCTTTATTAACTATGACTACCCCCCGTGACCTTGGGTGCTGTAAAATGCCCGAAACGTCGGTAATTAAAAGAAAATTAAAACGCGATAAAATCCGTGAAATTACTTTTATTCCATGTGTAGTATTCGCGTAAATATAAGAAATCATTAAGGGTCCAATTGTGAATTGAAACCATCCAAGGACCCACTATAACACACACAAAAAATTTAATCAAAAGCAGCCGAGTTATTTTCGAGTTTCAGCGAGACTAACGGTCAGCAATTGATTTTTATATATTTTTTTATAGAATAATGTGACAAGCGAGCACACAGTCCACCTGATGGTAAGTGGATACAGTGGCTCATAGACATCTACATTTATCCTGAATTAAGAATTAAAATGCAGATGCGTTGTCACCCCTGAGGATTAAGATGGAATGCCTCGTTTCCAGCATACAGCAGCATTAAGCTGCTGTTTTACGCTGGTATTCTGCGAGAGATACAACTATAATATAGCTGCATCATGGCTCTACCATGTGGAGAATACCTGAGCTCTTACTAATAATTTTATTATTTTTATTGTCCAGACGAGTCTACAACTACAATTCTGCCACTAACGGAAGTACACAGAGAGCTGGCACAGTATGCACTGGAGAATGGAGCCCAGTTCATAGCCAGCGAGAAGGCGCTGAAGTGTCTCATGGAAGTCGACAGGTATTGGACTGTATGTCTGTCTGTTTGTGAAGCATTTACACTAGGTGAGTTAGTGTTTTTTATAATTTATATATTTTTTTAACTTTCTAAATTGAAGTTCCCCCTTATACTGTCTCCAAGCAGCAGTATAGTTACAGACCGTGAGACATTCAGTTTTGGTTCTCGTAGGTGACAACATGTTGCTTTCTTTGTTTGAAGTTGATTGCAACTACCTGTGGAGTTACACTACTATGAGATGTTTTACCTGGTAGAGCCATGCTAGAGCTGTATAAGTAGTATAGTTATAGCACGAATGGGTTGCCTCGACCGGAGGAGAACCACGCTCTCGCAGAATACCAGCGTAAATTAGCAGCTAAACACTGCTGTGTTTTGTATGGTGAGTGTAGATAACTGGAGACCCTTTTTACTGGAAATGAGGCATTCCATATTAGTCCTCACAGGTGATAACGCGTCTGCATTTTATTCGCAAACAAGGAGAGATGTAGATGTCTACAGGGCACAGCAACCACTTACCATCAGGTGGGCTGTGTGCTCGCTTGTCACCCTTATCCTATAAAAAAAAGTTAGAAGAGGATAGCTACTGTCCATCTGCTGTTTAAGTTCTCTCTGTCGCTTCTTACTCCATCCATGGGATGATATGGTTTAATGGATTCCATTACGTCGCCACTACACAGCTACTGTCCACAGCAACGGTGTACCGTATGTATATACACATATGACTGCCTCGTTGTCTAGTGATTGTAGTAGTGCGACTGCTGATCATGATGTCCCGGGTATGAATGCCGGTTCGGGCTAAAAAATTAGTTATTGAGCTTTTCCATCAAGAAGTTCTCAGTAGATACCCGGAGTCAGGAAGTTGGCGATGTCTCACGCTTGTGCCTCGGAAAGCACGTAAAGCCGTTGGTCCTGCGCCTGATCTCTCTCCGGTCGGGTCCGTTTACCGTCCCATCGGTCTATGAGAATGAGGGAATAGAGAGTGCACCTGTGCTTGCGCATACACTTGGGCACTATAATCCAGTCGTGCACCGATGGCTAGTTCCTGCTGAAATTCGGTCTGGAGGACATTATTATTACATGTAAAGCTGTCTGGTATTCATAAGACATAATTTTAGATGGCGAAAAACGCAATGTACTCGTGCTGGGCAACGAATTTTTCCTAATGCGGGAGTGCGCACAAATGAGGACATACCGGGCATTCAGACACTTATTGCAATACGCTTTTGTACCGTAAGTATCATTTTATCTTAAAGTGAAGTACCTAAATTAAATTTAATTTTCAATTTGTCTTAGTAGTTGTAGCCTATAGTAGTCCAAGGAATAGACGTGGGCATTTCATTGCTCTCTATGCTTGGCAGGCAGAAAGACTTGGCAGTTAGTTTTTTGACATTTAATTGTTACAATTATAATAATAGGATTAATTTAATAGATATAAATAATTTAAGTAAGAAATTTTGACTAGAGATAGGTATTACCTATCTAAATATAATTTAAGACAGATAGCAAATGTGTCTATCTTATTGTTTATATATTAACTCAGCCAAGGACTTGGTTACACAGACATCTGCTTCTTTTGAGCAGTATAATGACTTAATATGCAATTTGAAATCAGTTTAAAAAGAAAGTAATTTAAATTAGAAAATGAGACAATAGAGGTAATCTCTAGCAGTTATAATAATTTAAATAATTTAGAATGTGGCTTAAAAATATTTAATTGTATGACTCCACAGAAAGGTAATGAAAATTTTACACCTGGTGCATCAAAATATACAAGGCATGATAGGCAAAGAGCTAGAAATTGAGTTGTTCTTAAATAGCAACAATATTCATATTTTATGTATTACTGAACATTGGTTAAAAGCTTATAACTTAATGTTTAACTTCAGTAATCACCAGGTGGTCAGTTCTTTCAATAGAGATACGGTTTTAAGAGGTGGCTCCTTAATATTAGCTAGTAAATTATTGAATAAAACTATTTTTACGGATTTTATCGCGTTTAATTAACTTATTTTATATTCCCGACGTTTCGGTTGCTTTCCAGCAACCGTGGTCACGGGGGACTGAGGTGATTGACGTCCCGATGTCAAAGTTAACCCGGAGTACCTTCAGCTTTTTAATTATTAATTTTGGTCCGATCTACGCAGAATGAACTAACTGTGTCTTGAAGTCTTGCAGTGGTATGCTTGGGTTTAGTTTTAATTTTATTAATTACAGGATCCCAAGCAGGTGGTAGTACCCAGCCTCCCTCTCTATTGAAATTAGGATGTTTTTTAATTTTAATAGCCTCACGTATCATCCTTGGCAGGAATCGATGTTCTTTCGCGAGGACTTGTGGTTTATCAAATCTAATGTAATGGCGGGGGCGGGTGTGGTTTATCAAATGTAATGGTAACGTTCCGGGAAGTCTGCAGTTTGTGATCATATCCTAGAGATATGATCACAAACTGCAGACTTCCCGGAACGTTGGTGCTTCACGTCAGCTATGTGTTCTTTTACGCGGGTTTTTATTGATCGTTTTGTTTGCCCTATATATGAGAGACCACACTCACAATCAAGCTTGTATACTCCTGCATCTTGTAGAGGAATATTGCACTTGACAGATGGTAAGAACTGACTAATCTTCTTCGACGGCTTGAAGAATGTTCTAATAGAAGCTCGCTTCAAGATGTAGCCAATCTTGTCTGTGACACCTCTGACATATGGTAGTACAGCAGGCACACGCTCGACTGTGGCCGGCTTCACTCGGTCACTGTGACGTAGGCGCGGAACCCGAAGCTTGTTGTCGTGCAGAACCTGCTTGACGTGCTGAAGCTCGGCGGCCAGGTGTTTGCTGTCACAGATCCCTCGTGCTCTCTGCAACAAAGATTTGCCCACGGTAGCTAACTGTGAAGGGTGATGGTGGGATTCACCGTTTAAGTATCGGTTTGTGTGGGTCTTTTTTCTATACACAGTGTGACCTACGGTGTTATTAGGATTTCGAATGACTAACACATCTAGGAAAGCTAAAGAATTATTTGCCTCTAACTCCATAGTAAATTGAATTTTAGAGTTTATGGAATTAAGATGTTCTAAAAATGCAGTTACTTTGTCTGATGGTAAAATTGTGAAAGTATCGTCTACGTACCGCTTGTAGAAACTTGGAGTTACTGGTGCAGTAAGCAGGGCTTTCTCCTCAAAGTCCTTCATGAAAATATCGGCGACAATTGGAGATACCGGTGAGCCCATCGCAACACCATCTACTTGCTTGTAAAACTGTTCCTTCCACAATAGGTAGCCAGATGTAAGGCAATGTCTGAGTAATACTGCATATTCTGCTGGCATGTTGTTTTCCTCTAGTTGGAAAAAGAACCCGCGTAAAAGAACACATAGCTGACGTGAAGCACCAACTTTCCGGGAAGTCTGCAGTTTGTGATCATATCCTAGACGGCCCCGCCATTACATTAGATTTGATAAACCACAAGTCCTCGCGAAAGAACATCGATTCTTGCCAAGGATGATACGTGAGGCTATTGAAATTAAAAAACATCCTAATTTCAATAGAGAGGGAGGCTGGGTACTACCACCTGCTTGGGATCCTGTAATTCATAAAATTAAAACTAAACCCAAGCATACTGAATAGGAATTTTATCTCTTTTTAATAATAAAGTCCAGTAATTTGCTCAATCGACCTTTACTTGATCTCTAAATTTTACAACGACGACAGGTACAACATTTTTTAAACATACCTACACAGCTTACGGACTAATATTGGCATGAGAACTGCTAATATAATTTGACAGGCGCTTCAACATGCCCCCCGGCGTTGAAAGTCTACCTTTCAACCAGATTCTTCAGGTTCAGGAAGCGGACAAATTTTGCTAAATGATCGGCGAACTATACCAGTCGATGTTTTGATATCCGCCACCCTTGATACGCCGTCCGAGCCTGGATGGACTGCGACGATGCGACCCATCTTCCACTTTAATGGCGGTGAATTCTCCTCTTTTAGGAGTACCAGTGAATTTAACTTCAAAGAGCCTTTACAGGAACGCCATTTCATCCGCAGTTGAAGCTCTGATATATATTCCTTGCTCCATCTAGCCCAAAAATGTTGACGTAATTGTTCTATTCGTTGAAATCGGGTTAAAGAGCTTACGGAATGATCTTTATAGTCTGGTGTCGGCAAGGAAGTCAAGGGGCGTCCAATCAAAAAATGACCGGGCGTTAGTGGTAGCAAGTCTTCAGGATTCGTTGGCAAAGGTGTGAGTGGTCTGGAGTTAAGTATAGCCTCAATTTGTATTAATGTGGTATTTAGTTCCTCGTAAGTCAAATTACAATTGCCCAGCACTCTAACTAAATGATATTTAATGCATTTGACACCAGCCTCCGCAAGCCCAGCAAAATGGGGAGAATAAGGCGGTATGAAATGGAAATTAATTCCTTCATTTGCCATTACCTCAGATAAAGAATTACAATACGTCCTAATAAATTTTGAAATGTCATTGTATGCGCCTACAAAGGAGGTACCATTATCCGAATAAATATTAAGAGGTTTCCCTCTTCTAGACATAAATCTGCGCAAAGCTAATATGAAGGAATTGCTAGTTAAATCACCCACTAATTCAAGATGAATTGACTTAGTCGCGAAGCAAATAAAAATAGCTATATACACCTTTACAATTTTACAACCACGGCCATGGCGAGAAACAGATTGAATTGGTCCCGCATAGTCTAGTCCAATATTTTGAAATGGAAAACCAGAAAGGATGCGTTGGTGTGGTAGGTTGCCCATTATTGGAGAGATGGTTTTTCCTTTCATTCTATTACATCTTACACATTGTCGATAACAAGATCTGGCCAAATTACGACCTCTAATCGGCCAGTACATCTCTCTTATAGTGGCCAATATTAGCTGTGGTCCCGCGTGCATTAACCTTATGTGCTCATAATTGAAGAGCAATTTGGTAAAATAATGAGTGGACTGTATAAGTATGGGATGTTTTTTCTCATAACAGTAATCGGAATTTTCAAGACGCCCTCCAACACGCATTATTTTATTATCATCGAGAAATACATTAAATTTATGCAACGGACTTTTAGTGGGTAAACTTTTATTTTTAATTAACATGGTGTATTCCTCAAATGATTCACTCTGAGATATTCTTATAATAACATTGAGTGCGGTTTGCAACTCTTGATTGCTTAGAGGACCGTGAACGGATTGCTTTCTACAATTATTAATAAAACGCAGCACATAAGCAACGGTCCGATTTAATCTAGTATATTTAGAAAAGCGTTTAAATTCAATTAATTTATTCCCACCTAAATCTTCATTGTTGCTAGAATGAAGTATTCCGTGGAGGATAACATTTGACGATTTAATCTCAGGCAACTCGTGATTAATACTTAAGAAATTTGCAGGCCAGTGAGAGACCTCTTTCTTTAAAAATTCAGGTCCTGACCACCACTTACTCATGGATGAAATATCCTTACAACTCACACCGCGAGAAATATGATCGGCCGGATTACACTCTGTTGGGACATGCCTCCACTCGCAATTTCCAGTCTTCTCTAATATTTCAGCAACCCTATTTCTGACAAAGGGTTGTAGCTTGCTAGGTAACACCTTTAACCATCCTAACACGATGGACGAATCTGTCCAAAAGAAAGTGCGCTTAGCCTGTTGTCTCAGCGATGCTACAACCTTTTGGTAAAGGCGAGCTCCAACAAGTGCACCACAAAGTTCCAGTCTTGGGATTGTTATAGGTTTAAGCGGCGCGACACGACTTTTCGCCATCAATAATTGAATTAAAACCTCACCCTGATCATTAACACTACGCACATATAAACAGGCGCCATATGCTCGCTCAGAAGCGTCCGAGAAAATATGAAATTCAAACAAACTAGGCGAGTCACAAATAACACGACGTGGAATACGTAGAATATTTAATTTAGGTAAATCGACTATTATCTCAGCCCACATCTTGCTGATTTCTGGCGTCAACTGCTCATCCCATGACAGCTTGAGCAGCCACAACTGTTGAAGAAGCATTTTCATCTTAATTACACAGGGAGATAGAAGTCCTAGTGGATCAAAAATCTGAGAAATTACAGATAACATATCACGCTTTGTTCTACCTGAGAATAGCCCTCCTATAGGGAAACAAAGTTGGTCAGTATGTGATTGCCAACCAAGGCCTAAAGTTTTAGTCGGTTCAAAGCCACCAATATTCAAATCAAGCGGAGAAATATCATTTTCACTAACCAGTTGAGATTCATTCGACTTCCACTTTCGCAAAACCATATGAGCTGATGCAAGTGTGGAAGTCACTTTACGGCGCAAATCTGTAACCTCGTTAATATCATCCCCTCCCGTTAGCAAGTCATCAACGTAAAAATCGTGAATGATCACTTGAGCAACCTTGTCATCGGTACACTCTAAACCTAATTGTTGGAGGCACCTAGTTGCCAAAAAGGGAGCACTAGAGGTGCCGTAAGTCACGGTGTTAAGTTGATAAGCTTGAAGCTGTTCTGAAGGGTTATCACGCCAGACAATTTGTTGCAAATAGCGGTCATCGGGATGAATGACTATTTGCCGATACATTTTCTCAACATCAGCTGTGAGAACGTATTTGTGTAGCCGAAAGCGTAAAAGAATGGACAAAAGGTCGTCCTGTACCACGGGACCTACCATCTGTATATTATTCAAGGAAACACCCGAAGAAGTCGGACTGCTAGCATTGAAAACGACTCTTAATTTAGTAGTAGTACTACTTTCCCGCAGCACACCGTGATGTGGTATAAAATGCATCTTACGTGGTAAATTATCATTCTCACATTTCTCCATATGACCCAGACTTTCATACTCTGACATAAATTCTTTATACATTTCATAGACCTGAGATTGACCTGCTAACCTGCGCTCTAGCGATAGTAAACACTTTTTAGCTCGTGGCCAAGAATCACCTAATACGTCAGGATTATGTTTTAAGGGTATCCTCACGCAAAATCGACCATTTGCCAGTCGCGTGGTGTTTTTTAAAAAGTGTTCTTCGCATAATTTTTCTTCGTTTGAATAAAGAGACGCAGGGCTTACCTCTTCGAGGTGCCAGAAGCGTACTAATTGTTTTTGTATATCTTCATCTAAATCTTTACTAGCCTCATCTTGAAATATTCTTGTAAAATTACATTTAATAAAGTTAACCCCTTTCTTTACATATCTATAATCTATCGGACCTGATACTAACCATCCTAAGCTAGTTTCACAAAGAATCGGCTGACCGTCCCCTAATTTTAATCTCTGCGTTCCTATTAAGTCCCAAAAGACATCAGCACCTATAAGCATGTCAACGGGAGCAGGTGAGTGAAAATTAGGATCTGCCAGAGAAATATTAGATGGAATTTTTAAGTTTGACAAATTAACATATCTAGTAGGTACATTTTGGGTTATTGATGGTAGGACAAAACAATGAAGATTACTAGAGAAGTTATCATTCAATGATTTTATCGATACCTTACAAATCTTCTTGATGTGTGCCGAAGCATTATTAATACCGACTACCGACTGATTTACATTTTGAGCGGGCAAACCTAGCCTTTGATATAACTCTTCAGTTATTAAACAAGCGTTACTGCCACTATCAAGAATAGCACGAGCAATATATGGACAACCATTCTTACCTATAACTTTAATTAATGCCGTCGATAACAATACGTCGCCTTGTTCACTACACGATGCAGTGCCTACCTTTGCGGATAATGACAGATGTGCGTTAGAATTGGATGACAACTGTGAGCCTGTCGAACTGTTTGTTTGTTCGAAATGACCTTGCATAACGGGCTTATTATTACCACTACTCGTGTTAGATGTATTAATATCTGTAATTGGTTTTGACTGGTAATCTGCGACGTGCACGAGAGTGTTATGCTTTCGGTGGCATATTTTGCATCCTGGCTTTTTGCAGTGATTTGCATAATGTCCTGAATTAAGACAATTGAAACATACTTTATACTCTGGCAGTAACTGTAGACGCACATCGTTACTTAATCCAAGAAACTGAGGACAACTGCTTAACTTATGGTCACCCTTACATTTAGGACACAGTTTGGCGGAAAAGGCCGAACCGTTTTTATTACCGGTATCCCGAACTGAAACCATTGCCTTAACTTTTGGAGCATATTTTATAGAAGAATTTAAACGGTTAGTAGCACCAGAATTAGACATTTCTAGTGTTTCGATTAAATCGGCTCGATTTTTTAAAAACATCAAAAATATATCGAACGTAATAGGTGTATCTTTCTCCAAACGACCTTTAGACTCTTCCCATTCACGATATGTCTTAGCATCTAATTTTTGAGTAATAATATGAATGAGAAGTGTGTCCCATTGTTTAGTTGGCTCACCGAGAGATTCTAGTGCACGTAAATTTTTATTTATTTGGTCAATAAGACGTTTTAAGTTGACAGACAATTCTTTATTAATTGGTGCTATATTAAATAAGGCTGTCACGTGATTTTGAATTAGTAGTCTTTTATTATCATATCTATCACATAATATAGTCCATGCGACGGTGTAATTAGCTGCCGAGAATTCGATTGACTGTATTACCACAGCAGCGGGCCCTTCCAACGACGCTCTCAGATAGTGAAACTTATTTATGTCATCTATCTCGTCATTTGAATTTATGAGGCTCATGAACGTGTCATGAAACTCTAACCAATTATCATAAGAACCATTAAATTTAGGTAGTTGAATAGTGGGCAGTTTAACAAATTTATGATTGCCGGAATGAGAGCCACCGTCACTGCTTACGTCATCTGACTTAATGCAATCTGCTAAGATCCTTTTTGCAAGAGAAAGCGATTTAAAATACAGGGATTCAAAATCAGTTCGTTCTGATATCTGGGCGTCTATATTATCAGTATTACACTCGATGGATAATTGTACCTCATCATATCGTTCATACATTGACTCAATCCTACTAATACGTAATTGCAACTCATTTACCTCAGTAGCAGCCAATGAAGATACCTTCAGTGAATTTAAATAATTTGAAAAAGCAGTTATTTGTCCCTTGTAACTAGCTCGTTTCCTAATTTGCTCCTTATCTTTTGGCATGTTGGCTGGTATTGGGAGACTAGTGCAAATGCCTGAAATTTATACAAACAAGAAGTTTATATTTTATAAAATATAATTCATAAGTAGTTTTATACAATTTTGCTTACAGTTGTAAAGAAATGAAAACTAATTCCCTTACTTATTTTTCAAACTCTTAAATAATTAAACAAAATGGTACATGTACTACCTTGATATTTAACTTTATAATTAACAACAATTAAGGGTAACAAATACAATTCAGACCATCAAACAGCTTCACAGGTATGCCTTAGTATGTAATAAATAATATTATGCAATTTTTTCAATTATACACTCTCTTGACTTATTTTTTAAAAAACAGTTTAAACCAATAAAGAGAAAAAAAAATTATAATATCGTCAATATAATTTAACTAAGCTTTATAATTTAATTTAATCATGATTTGACGGTTATTAGAAACTATATAAACAATATTAAATGAATTTTAGCCGATTAAATACTTTAAGTTATACGTAATTATTTTATAGGTAATTTGGTACTAACCTGATAAATTAGCAGTCGATTTACACAAAATACTACCTGATAATGAGTGCTGGGTTAAATAAATTAAATAATAGTCCAATATCTAAGGGGCTAAGACTCCAGATTTCTTGGTTAAATATCTTCACTCCCTCGGTGGTATTTCCACAACGAATATTTAAGACTTCCCAAGCGTATTCCACTAAATAATATCTTGTCCAATTACGTTTTTTCAAATCCGGCTCGAAGGACCATGAATAGGAATTTTATCTCTTTTTAATAATAAAGTCCAGTAATTTGCTCAATCGACCTTTACTTGATCTCTAAATTTTACAACGACGACAGGTACAACATTTTTTAAACATACCTACACAGCTTACGGACTAATATTGGCATGAGAACTGCTAATATAATTTGACAGGCGCTTCAACACATACCACTGCAAGACTTCAAGACACAGTTAGTTCATTCTGCGTAGATCGGACCAAAATTAATAATTAAAAAGCTGAAGGTACTCCGGATTAACTTTGACATCGGGACGTCAATCACCTCAGTCCCCCGTGACCACGGTTGCTGGAAAGCAACCGAAACGTCGAGAATATAAAATAAGTTAATTAAACGCGATAAAATCCGTAAAAATAGTTTTATTCAATGTGTAGTGTTCGCGTAAATATAAGAAATCATTAGTAAATTATTATCATGTAAAGAACGTATTGTGAAAATATTGTGTCGTAAAGATGATATTGTGAGCCTCTCTGTTGAGCGAACTGTAGAAACAAATCAAAATCAAAATGTAATGTACGTACACAAAAATAAAAGTAGTTTTACAAAAATAAGTGATATTCATTCTGTAAATACTAGGAACAGACACAAGCTAGTAGTTCCAGAATCGAGTCAGTAATTCATTCTTGGGGCGATGTATACGCTTTTAGGTACGACTTTCCATTGACTCCCATCGAGTTGGGGATTGATACGTATTTTTACAGAAAAGTTACACTATTATAAGCACACACACAAAGTTACAATATGCGGAAGCGCGTAATTTTTGAGAAAAAAGTTATTGAAAATCAATTATTCTTGCATTGTTTATGTCTAATCCTACAATAAAACTGACGCCATTTTTTATTGTTATTGTCAGTAGGGATGTCGATTCTTTCCATATAATACGTATCAACCCCCAACTCGACGGGAGTCAATGGAAAGTTAAGCCCGCTTTTACAACAAAATTCCAGAAAATATACAAAATTTGACCGGCTCAAAGGTCAAAAACTTTATTAAACTAAGTTTGTATAAAAAGGGTTATTATAATATTAAGGAATTTATGGATGATAGTAACCCCTGGAAATGAGGTTATCGCTACCAAGCTATTTCTAATTTGTTGTGTTGTTAATTTGTGTAACATCATGATTGTAAGCTGTTATTTAAAAAGAAAAGTCCCGCTGGGTTTTATAGATTATATTTATTTATAATCTTCTATCTATATTGAATAAAAAAGTTTCTGTTTCTATTTTATAAACGATATTCACATTTAAAATTTTTGCAGTGATTTGGAAAAGTCAAAATTGTTTTACAAAAACAATAAGAGGCCGGAGAGGAAAAATTATTTAAGTAGCAGAGTGAATGAGGAGGAAGACCGTGAGGTGTCAAGTGATGATGAGGACAGTCTGTTCATTGTCGCCGGTCAGTAATTACTTTTTTTCCTCCTATTATAACGAATTAGTTAATGATTTCTTATATTCACGCGAACACTACACATTGAATAAAACTATGTTTACGAATTGTATCGCGTTGAATTTAAAATTAATATAACATTTAATAATAATAAAATTCGTAAATATAGCTTTATTCAACGAATTAGTTTTTTTTTATTTTAATTTTATTTAATGCTTACCAGCTGTTGTATTTTTTAAGTCACACGCTTTATCTCACAGAAGTGTCAGAAGTGCGGGTTTTAGGGAAAAGAAATTTCCGCCACGCTGGCTCAATGCATATTTGCGGTGTTCACATGTCTACGAAATATATTTTTTTTACTTATCAGACATGCAGGTTTCCTCACGATCAGACATGCAGGTTCCGTCACCGCCGAGCACGTGGTAAATCAGCACTTAAAATTTCGGTGCCGGCGGGGATCGAACTCGGGTTGCTCGCGTCGTACTGTGAAATTCATTTCTCTAAATATAGCTTCAATTCTATCATCAGAAATAAGCTTAGTTTTTTAACATTTTCAAAAGCTTTTGTTTTCCTTGCAAGCAGAATCAATAAGATGTAAAAGTAAGTAGTACAGGTGCTACAATAGCAGAGTTACAGCGCTTTTTATACTTTAAAAATTTTATTAGGTAATACAGATTCGAGCTATTTTTCTCTTATTATTGTTTAAAGTCATTAAGGCGTAAACACGCCGGCGTACTACCGACAGAATCGAGTTCATAAATCAATCGAATTTTATTCGAACTCAAAGAGCAATGGCAGAAAAATAGTTGACAAAAATTATAGCGTCTAGAAATAAGTTATATATAAAACGAGTTTTATTATTTTTCTATGATTTTTCAAATAAAAATGTATATTAATTAAAGCCACAGAAAAAAACAAACATTTTTGGGAATATCAAATGACTGAAATCATTTTACTCTATTCAAATGTTGCCATTTAGTATATTCCTACTATTTTCGTATACACTTTGTAACACTACCAACACAACACACAAAATATTTTTATACTAAGTTATTATTAGTAATAACTGTACTATCAGTAATAACAAAAATAAAAGTAATATGGCTGAGAATAAGTTTCTTACAAAGAATTTCCTACAATAATACATTATCTCAATCATAGTACTATGTAACAATTCCATTTAATGTTATGCCAACACTAGCTAAAATAAAATGTCCCTGTTTTTTTTTACTCGCTTTACGGCTCTGGGTTCTAGCCCTTCTGAGAATATCACTATGGTACAAAAGCCCTGGAGCCATGCCAGAAATATACATTTATAGTATGCAAATATATAATAGAGATACAATAATCTAAAAACTCTCAATTATGTATTATGTATTAAGCTAACATCAAACAACCACAGGAAGCATGACTTTTTCTAAGTGACATAGGACATAACCTAAAAAGGTTCAAATGTAAATATCTTTTTTTTGACGCCTTCTCAGTACAAAATTCATTGACAGAGTTAGTAAGGGACTGACGCTTAACATTTTAAGATATTTTTGGTATATAGACGCTACCATTTCTTCTCAACTAATTTTATGTATGAAAGTCTGCCATTGCTCTTTGGTAGTTTCAAAACTGTAGCCAGCGCAGTACCGATTGGTGGTACAAATTGGAACTATACTCACGAAAGTTTTCACCTGGTCGCATTTCGATGGTGCTCGTAATCGTAAGCGATAAGAATGCTTTTTATTGATAAGTTTGTCCTATTTATGTTATAAAAATATTTAAGAAGTTAATTTTTAATTTAACAAAAATGATTTCCGGATAAAAAAAATATCCGGTTGTGCCTAACGACGCAGATAACGCTCTGTCGTAACTTGACCGTGTTTCTCGATTCAAATTGGTACGAGAGTAAACTTATTAAATCAGATTTTCGCTTGTACAGTCCAAGGTAAGAGCCATGTTTCAATTACATTATGGTTGTAACAGGAATGGTTCGGCTCGACCGAGAAAAGACCACGCCCGCACGGAACATCGCCGTAAAATAACAGCCCAATGCTGATGTGTTTCGTATGGCGAGTAAAGATATCCGGAGACCCTTTTTATTGGAACCGAGGCATTCCACCTTAGTCCTTAGGGTTGACAATGCATCTGCATTATGATTCTTAATTGAGGATAGATGTAGGTGTCCATGGGCTACAGCATCCACTGATATCAGGTCGGCTGTGCTTGTTTGTTACCCTTATAATATCTGGAAAAAAAAATAGAATAGAAGCAACATCAGTTTGAATCTAAACCCAAATCGAATTTGAAAATAAACTCAAAAGTAAGCTTGGTGATTTGTCTATGTCTCTGTGTTTTCTGTTCAGTTCTGTTATTTGATCCTCGTTGCAGCCATTTCAAAAATATTCCTAAACTTCAATCATATGGAAAGAGGTTAATTGCCAAGCTGCTAAGAATATTAATTTTAATTTTTTAATTCACCTATAGACACACAGCCAAATGGTAATTCAGACACAGACCCGATGGAAACTGACGAAGTGAAAAGCCTAGATGAAGAAGTTTCGAAACAGACAAAGGTTGATCCAGTCTCTAGTCCTGTTAAAGGTGTAAATGGGAATAAAAACAAGAATAAGGATAAAAATGACTTCTACAAATGTACATGTGAAGGTGAGTTATTTTGTTTGTATACAAAAGAGACGCTTTTGTACCAGAGTCATACTCTTAATGTTTTGAGAAATTCTATTTGATGTAATTTTTTTAACATTTAAAAGGCAAAGGAGCCGACTGTCCACCTGATGGTAAGTGGGCTACTGCAGTCCATAGAACGCTTCTGGTGAGTTGTTATCTCAGAAGACTTAGCTCTCTAACTGCCCATACTCTTCAGATGGGAACACAAGAGTGTACGCAACTGCTGCTTTCACCATAGGCAGAGACCCAGCTCTATCACCTTATAAATCATCATTCATTACAGGCTATCAACATCCACCGCCGGACATAGGCCTCTCCATAGACAGCCTTTAAGTGTTAATTTGACTAGAGCATGCAATGCCTCAGTACATTTTCTATACCCGCAATATTGCGGTATCGGAACTTGTAATATCGCAAAATTTGAGATATTGCGAAATTAAAAATCCTTTAATGGCGATTCAACTAAAACACTAACATGAGATAACTGCAATTAATCACACATACAACCCTAATCTTAATTTTTATCTTAGAAATGTTTATGTAAAAAGCAAAGCATATCCACTGTCTCATCATTTAAAGAATTTCTAATTTTATTACATATTATGTATCCAACAGCCAAAAATGCTCTCTCAGCTTCTACGCTCGTTGGTGGAATGCTTAGCAGATAACTATACACAGTCTCCAGATATTTACCCGTTGTTACTCCGGTTTCATACCGGGTTCGTTTTTAATACTGCGAATTTCGCACCTGTAATCTCGCTTTTGCGATACTGAAATAGAGCGCGAAATTCGCGAAATGGCGGTAACTATATAACGTATTATATTATTATAATATTGACGAATAATAACAAATATTCATCAATATTGTAATACGCCTTTTATACGGCATTATAATTATATATTATAACTTTATACTTATAACTAGCTGTTCCCCGCGACTTCGCCCGGATGTATTCATGGGTTTTATTTTTTTGCATGGTACACTAATTATTTTTCTATAATGAAAGTAGCCTAAATTACTCCTTATAACATCAGCTATCTGCCAGTGAAATTTCAGTTAAAATCTGTCCAGTCGTTTCGGAGATTAGGCGAAACAAACGGACAAAAAAATTTTAAAATTGTGTTTTTGTTATAATAATCGTATATACTTTCATATAAAGCTGTTATTTTGACATTACAAACAGAGACTTCAATTTTATTTATTTGTATAGATTGCTTATTGGCGTATTATAATATTAATAAATAATAATAAATATTCATCAATATTGTAATACGACTTTAATGCGGCATTATAATTATACCGGGTTATTTTTCAAAGAGTAGCCAAATTTTAAACTTAAGTTTAAACATATAAATAATGATATACCGTTATTGCAGTTTCTGAAAATACGAGTAAATAAAGCTTCTACTTTTATTTGAAAGTATCCCAAATTGAAAATGATTTATGGGCGACAACGTTTTTGACTACCGATCGACCTTTACGAATGTGTGCGTGCGCAGTAAAATCAATTAAAATAATGCATTACCACGCATTTTGAATTTAAAAGATAAGAAGAACAGAATGTTTGAGATTTTTTAAATTAATTTTTATTTACCATTTCTCTATATTACTTATTCTGAATTTTCTCTGCAAATTTGGCAGGTTACACAATAACAAATATTCATCAATATTATACGGCCCTTTTGTAAAAAAAAAACTATAATTGATTCTTAAAATTGTGAAGGCTCTTACATTCAAATGTTATACGGGCGAGGAATCATGCAAAATACGCTTTTCTTAAACAAAACCTACTATTGGGATGGCTTGATTTAGCTTTACTACTGCGTACATTTTAAGTACGCAGCACTTCGTCTTCTTTATTTGTCTGAGATTGCACATTGAGTTTTTGTAAATAAGTTATTTTTAAATGTGGGGCACGGACGCCCACGGCAGGATTAACAAAAATTGTGGTAACCTAAAATCGTATTATCATTATTAGTTTAGACGATTAGTTTACTGATCTCTTATTACTAGTTTTTATTTCAAATATTTCTTTTTTATTTATTTCTGCCATGTTCAAGACACGCTGTTCGAGAGGCCACCGCCACGGTCTTTCAGGAAGTGGCGCTTGAGGAACATAACTAGTCAAGAAAACTACGATGTAGTAGTGCACTGCGCGCATAAAGTGAAGGTAACTGTGAAACCTGTATGAAGTTTTTTAGACCATTAATTACAAAAATTCTGTCGAAAAAAGGGTCTATGGCCAACGGTCGAATGATTAACAAGTACTTGTGAATGCTTTTCGGTATTTGTTTAATTTTCCTTAATTTCCTTATTTTGTGGTGGTGGATTCATCTGTTGTAAGTAAACTACGTTTATAAAATATAGTTATTTCGAACAATACACCCAATTATGGGTGACGAAACGGGGTCTCCCCGTGAGAAACCCCCTGACCCTCGCGATGAACACACGTGCTTTGATTTAAGTGACAATAATGATTTTGACCGTGGTACAGAAAGACACGCTGAGACTCGATCATTTGAACCAGTATTATATAAAAAGAGTTCTGTAATCGATTTAACAGCGTCAATAAACACTATATATAAACATCCCTGCCTAGAACAAAATCTTAGAATGTATGGGCCAAATGTTCAAGGCCCTTTTGTTGTCCACATTTCCCGAGCTTCGTCAGATCCTAGAATAGGGCTATCACTTCGACCAATTGAAATAGGTTTATGCTTGTCTAAAAATAAAATAGAAAACATCAAAAGAGGGGGGTTAAAAGCGTTGGCAGAAATCGCATCTCTATTGAATTCTGCTCAGCAGATGAGGGTAACAAATTTCTTAATAATCCAATGCTTGCAAAAGAAAAATTGATTGCAACTATTCCATCCTATAATGTCTCTCTAATGGGTGTCATCCGCGGGGTCCCTGTGGATTGGTCAATGGAAGTACTAGCAGAAGCTATTGAGCTTCTTCCCGGTTGTGGTAAAATCCTAAAAGCTCGCCGTCTACAGAGAAAGACTTTTGCTGAAGGGTCATCATCCCCAATATGGGTTCCTACTAATCTATTGTTCTGACTTTTGAAGGTCAGATACTCCCCAAATATATATATGCATTTTTCACATCCCTTGCCGTTGAAACTTATCAACTCCCCACCATCCAGTGCAAACAGTGTTGTCGATTTGGCCACGTAGCAGATCAATGCCGCTCTAAACCACGCTGCTTCCGTTGTGCCCAAGAGCATACTGGAGCAAGTTGTTCTGTTCCTGAAAGTGAAGCCACTTGCCTGTTATGCTCCAAAAATCATTTCGCTAATAACAAAAATTGTCTGGAACACCAAAGACAGAAATCTATCAAAGTTATGATGTCAGAACAAAATGTATCGTATATAGAAGCTTTAGCCAAAATCCCATCTATCCGTTTGAACAATCTTCAAAAACCGTATTCTGAAGTGGCCTCTACTCAGCTTTCACCTACTTCTACTACCTCCTTCAACCTCCCCACCATGTCACAGGCATATAGAAAAACTATTTTTAAATCTCCCCGTCCCATCCCTAGAATTCCCATGGGGTATGACCAACAAGCTCATCAAAGAATAGTTGCAGACTGCCCATCCTCTACTCCAAATGGATGCGCATTATCCAATACGAACAACCAAATATCTCCAAATAAAAATCTTGTTGAATGCCTAATTTCTCTTCTCAATAATTTAATTTTGAAAATGTCAGACTCACTACCGAACAACGTTGCAGAAAAAATCTTTAATTTAGCCAGTTTAATAGATAATATAAATGACTCAAACAAAAGACCTCCATTTCTACAGTGGAACTGTAGAAGCTTGCAACCTAAAAAATCAGAACTCATCTTCCTAATAAATAAACATTCAATTTCTATTGCTTCAATATCAGAAACATGGTTCCTACCTGGCTCCAAATTTCGCTTGCAAGCTTTACTTGCCTCAGTGAAGATAGAAATGATGATTATGGTGGTTGTTGCTTAGTCATAAAAAAATCGCTACCCTTTTCTCAAATTACACTCCCTCCTCATAGCCAAAACATTAATGCCGTGGCTGCAAAAATTGCAGGAATCAACATTATTTCAATATATATCCCTCATCCAAATACCCACTTAATCCAAGAACTATCCTCTCTCTTTTCTTTGTTACCTCCCCCTTTTATTATTACCGGTGATTTTCATTCACATCATGTATCTTGGGGGTCACATTTTTGTGACATATACTCTACAGAACTTATACAAATTTTTGAAGACATTAATGCTTGCATCATCAACAATAGTTCCCCCACTCATAGAGTATACCCAGGACTAGACCCTAGGTCTGCTGTTGACCTAACAGCTTGTTCTTCTAGTCTAGCCCCTCATCTTTCTTGGCAAAATCTCAATCAAACATATGGAAGTAATCACTTTCCCATTCTTATTACCAAACCCAATGCGGTTATTCCTTTACCCTCTACTATGCCCTCCTTAAATATAAGGTCCAAGATGCAGATTGGACTAATTTCACTAAATTTTTAGATACTTGCCCAAATACAGGTTGACTCCTCAACCAACCCAATAACTTCTTACTCTTTATTGGTACAATATATAACTGAAGCAGCTGAGTTATTTATCCCAACCAAAAAACCCTACAGCAAGAACCTATCCTCCCCTCCATGGTGGGATGCTGAATGCACCACTATGATTAAAAGGAGAAAAGCTGCAGAAAAGCTTTATAATCACTATATGACAACCGAAAATTTTATACAATTTCAAAAAACCTCTGCTCAAACAAGGAGACTTCTATCCAAAAAGAAAAAAGTGGAGGGAAAAAATTTTGTGAATCCATGTCACCTAATACACCTGTAACAATAGTTTGGAAAAATATAAAAAAATTTCGTGGCTCCCTTCTTTCTGATACCAACATTTCTGATAACTCTCTACCATGGTTAGAAGTCTTCTCTGATATGTTAGCTCCTCCTTTTGTCTCTAATGAATATGCAATATGCTCACCCATTCCAGTCCCGTCTAACATCAACAATAATGAGATAATCTTCTCATTGTCCGAACTACAGTCTGTGTTATCTGGCTTAAAATACTCTTCAGGAGAAGATGGCATGCCCTATGTATGTTTATGTAAATTAAGCCCTAAGTCAATTCGGTTTTCGTAAAGGGAAAAGCACATTAGATAGTTTGAGTATCCTAACAACAGATATTAGGTTGGCTTTTTCTAAAAATGAATACTTGGTGAATTGTTTCCTGGATATATCATCTGCCTATGACAGTGTTCTTCTTCCGGTGCTCAGGCAGAAAATGCTTCATCTGAACATCCCTGCGAAGACTGTACACTTCATTTACAATCTGTTCATGGGACGATCTATCAAAATTCGCAATAAAGGAATGTTAAGCTCGCCCAGAACAATTTACAAGGGTCTACCACAGGGCTCGGTCTTAAGCCCTATTCTTTATAATATTTACACATATGACCTTGAACATTCTTTCTGTGACATATTACAATATGCAGATGATCTTGCTATCTATGTAACAGCTCCTGATATCCTAACTGCCTCCCATCATCTTAATCATCTTAACAGAGGCTTATATTATCTTAATGAATGGCTCACTGACTATGGCCTCTTTCTTTCAGCTTCTAAAAGCAATAATAACCTTTAGTAGAAAACGTGTTATCCCTACTATTGATATGTCTTATAATGGTGAATCTATTCCAGTTGTTAACAAAGTAAAATTTTTAGGTATTTACTCTCCTCCCCCCCCCCCCCCCCCCCGCCCCGCCCTCCTGATGGACACGATAAATTTTATCATTTTGAGGTTAGGTCTATGGGATTTTCTTTTTGATTTTTCTCAAGAACGGTGTATTACCTTTTGATGTGAGTGGTGTCGGGGATTAGGGGACACTCCCCCCTCCCTGCACACCCCATTTTCTGCCCCCCCCTCCTCTCCAGCCAAAAGATTTTCTAAATTTTAACCGAAGTTTTTTCCGAACCGGTGATAATAGTAAAAAAATACTTCCAATAAGTATTACATGTAATCTATATTGAATAAAAATGTTTCTATTCTATTATCCTTGGTATCTTAAGGGTTTGTTGTCTTTTAAATAAGCGTGGAAAAAATATCTCAGTCCCTCCGAAAGGATTTAAAAAGAAGTAAAATTAAATGCGATAAAATCCGTAAAAATTGTATATAAAAATTCTATATAAGAAATTTATAAGAAATCATTAAAAAAACTAAAATAATTTATATTTCAGGGTGAGGTCGGCGAAGTAATATTAGAGCCGATACCCGAGTACCAGCTGGACTTGGGCGCCAGTCAGCTCTCAAAGGAGAAAATGAGAAGCTTGGCGCTCTCACTTTATTTAAGGAAAAACGCGTCACTTATGAATAGTATGTCATTTAAGCTGAACGCACATTTGTCCGCGCCGTACGCGCCGAATTTTAGAATTCGTTGTATGAAATCATATGAAACCTCGCACATTACAGCCGCACCGTACGCGCCGAATTTTATAAAATGCGGTAGGCATACGATATCGAAGCACGAATGCTGATGACGTCATATAACGCGGTGCGTTTGGCGCGTGTCGATACTTAGTGTTGTCTAATGTTGCCAACTTAGTGGATTTTCCACTAAAACTGGTGGTTTCGACTTTTGTTTCGAATTATATTTTTTAAGTGTTAAATGTACACTGCGGTTAGAGGTTGGCAGAAAAATGCTGCAACGAAATTGAAATTCCGATAAACGTTGTGAAAAAATTGATAGTGAATTTTAATTCAAAAGCCCAATTATACCTGATTACTTAATTATCAATAAAAATACTTACCTCAAACATACAACAAGTCTTTCCTCTGGTTCAATTAGCCTTCTATATCTTGAGTTTTCCATAGAAAGATATGGTTTTAATATATGTAACAATTCTTGAAATTTCTTGTATGTTAAATGTTAATATCTAAAAAATCGTTCATCATCATATAACAAGTCTTTAAATAAAGTGTAATACACTCCATACAATTGCCTTTTTAAATTAATACTATGAATCCAGACTGCCTCGTTGGTCTAGTGGTTGTAGTAGTGCGACTGCTGATCATGAGGTCCCGGGTTCGAATCCCGGGTCGGGGTAAAAAATCAGTTATTGAGTTAATCAGTTATTGAGTAAGGAATTTGGCGGTGTTTCACCCCCGTGCCTCGCAAATCATGTAAAGCCGTTGGTCCTGCGCCTGATGTCTCTCCGGTCGGGTCGGGTTACCGTCCCATCGGACTATGAGAGTGAGGGAATAGAGAGTGAACCTGTGCTTGCGCATTCACTCGGCCACTATAATCCTGTCCTGCGCAGATGGCTAGTCTCCGTTGAGACTGGCCGCCGTGACCGAAATTCGGCCTGGAGGACATTATTATGAATCCAGAACTTCTTTTTCTTCGAATTTTGTTTTCTTCTTCCTCTGGCAATAACCAGGCTATTACAATATTTTTTCCATAGTGATTCCTAGCGATAACGTCTTCAATCTAATATATCTAATGTACCGTTTCACACCAGTGGTTGGAAAAAACTGCTAGAGTTATTGGCAATCTAAAAGATTTGCGGACGGCGCGGACGGTGCGTACGTGCAAGTGTGCGAGGCCATCAGTGAAAGTCGGCGCGTGCGGCGCGGACGGCGCGTACGGCGCGGACAAATGTGCGTTCAGTTTTAGTCTATACATGGTTATTTTGCAATAATCGGCCTCCCAGTACTAGTAACTGCCTACTAATGCAAGATCAGCATATACTAGTTAATTGTTTAACACTTGGTCGATAAAAGAAAGATATTGAAAACAGCAGCACTTCTCATTGCCACTTTTTCATTAATAATGCCGTCGCGCGTCGCATGTTTGTAAATAGCAAAAAATGTGAAACAGACAAGTGATGGCTCCGTGGCGCAATGGCTTAGCAAATAGTTACTGCGCTGGGGGCTGCGGGTTCGAATCCCGCACGGAGCAAGTATTTGTATGGTCAATAATTGTTCCGGGTCTGGATGTTTGTCCTTGTGCAATTTTGTGTTTGTAAACTGCCTCCACTCTTACAGGAGAAATTCCTAGTGTGAAGGTAAAGTATTTTTTGAAGAAAAAAAGTATTATTTATATAAAAAAATATTTATAATAAAAAAATGTTTATATTTCTACTACTATTGGGAGTTCACATGTCCGGCAGTGGACATTTATGGGCTGATGAAAAAGAGAAAATTAGTTTTTTTTTGTAAACCAGCTTTCATAAAGCTCTTATTGAAATTCATAAGCTTAGCTATCGCTTCAACAAGTCCCTACTGCGAGGAGATCTTGTGAGAAGAAGCGGCAAGAAACTCACGAGTTGACTGTTTTTCCACAAAAATTTAAATTTTTGTATACAATGTCCCTGCATTCTTATATTTTAAACAGTTATCTAATTTATAATACCGTTTCTTCATCCAAATGTCTTTTACATGCGCTATGAATGTGTGCATTGAATTCGTTTAAATTTCCAGTTCGAATAGAAGGCCCATCGGGTGATGTGGTGCGGTGTGACACTGTCAACTTGGACGACTTGGTGAAATCAGACGGCGACATGCTGCCGGCCATAAGCAACGTAGTTGGGACCACGCTGAATCAGTTGCAGGGATTGCTGCCCGGACATTACTTACTGCAGCATGAGGTAACGTTGCAACCTCTACACTCCTGGGAACTGGAGGAACGGTGTGATAGTAATAACCTAAAGCAGTCTAACAAGCTACACTTTAATGAGGGCTAGTAATTTTCTGCTCACCAGATGTCTATAGTTGACACCGAGGTAAAGTTTTTTGTTACTCAATGTCATTTAATTGAGAAGTTATATTAATACACAAAACAATTCCTCATTGGTTTGCTCTTTAATTTCTTGCACATTTTTAACTATTTTAAAAAATTTCTACTTTTATGAATATCTGTGGCGTGCTTTGTTATTTTTAATCTAATTAATATAAAATATAGCTAATAATACAGAAATAAACATTAACCTTTACATTTTCCGAACTAAGTAACTTCTCCGCTATGAAATCTGTCAAATATTATACCTCACTTTTAAGTGGCGCCGACCTGGTGGCAAGAAAGTCGTGGATGCCCTCATTGATTAAGGTTAATTGTCTTTTCTTAGATATCCTTAGGTGTCCTCAAGATTTATTTTTTAGCAGAGATCGACTAACAATGATATTTTTACGAGTATACAGTAATGCCCGGGCTACACTAACGAGAAATGCCGTTAATTATCGCGTTGATGGGCGTTGAATGTAGGTATGGCCACCACTTAACGCGGTAATTCTACAACGGCAAGAACTATGCCGTTTGCCGTTGAACGATAACTCGAGTGTCGGTACATCAAAGAGATTATCGCACGAATTAACGCGTTGAAGCGGCCACACTACGTTTGTCTCATTGTGCACGGTGAGCGCAACGGAGTCGCACGTATGGCTACGATAGAGTGGAATAATGAAAAAGTTATTACGTTTCTTGGGATTCTGCAAACAGAGCCATGCTTAGGCAATGATAAAATATATTCACATAATAAACATTTTCAATTATTAAACATAGAGTAGCAGCGTCAACGTTCATCTTGCTTGAAATTCAAGGAATATTAACGTAAAGTGACCATACGCCCCGTTTTGAACGGGACTGTCCTTTTTCTCGGTCACCTGTCTCGTTGTCCCCAAACCAAGCTCCGGGACGCAATATAGTCCCGTTGTCCTAAACCGCGAGAAAATTTAAAACTATGCAGTTCGTCAGACACGAACGGTGCGAGAGCGGCACCGACCAAAAAATAACCGAATGGGATAATTTCAAAGTTCGCAGAAATTCGTTGGGTTATTCAAACATTTCTCAGCAACATTTCTCTTGCATTTTAATCGAATATATTTTATATCTATCTGGTACAAATGCTCCAGTAGAAAAAGTATTTTTCTATTATGAATAAATTGTGGACGTCTGAAAAAAAAATCACTTACAGGTTCCAGTAAAAAAACTTTCTCTTATTTAAAATCATCACCAACTTTATTAAAGCAAATTTGTTCCACTGACAAATATAAATATAATTTAAAAATATGTTGCATTTAATAATTACTGTTTGAGGAACTTTGCTTTAATGAAGCTGGTGAACTGGTGATTAATTTTTATTTTTCACAATTAGTTAAAATAAAAATAATTAATGTGATTATAATTATAGTGAACACTAATTGTATAAAGTTACAGTTTTTAAATAAATAACATAATATTTTTTTATTGTTAACCTGCTAACCGGGGAGTATAAATAAACTCATGTCCCGTTTTGAGTTAATCAATAAATGGTCAGTTTACTCTAACACCGTTCAACGGCATTGAAATTGAAATGACGTTGACCGACCCAAGTGTGGCCACTCAGTTTATCGCGTTAAAATTAAGGCAATAATTGTTGCGTTTATGGGCATTGACGTTTCTCGTTACTGTGGCCCCAGCATTAGGGTGACAAACGGCTTGAATCATAAAATGTCTAGATACCGCAACACACCGTGACCTAGTTTCAAAATATGGGTCAGAATTGATAAGTTTGTTTGTGTGACAGCTTAGTCTTTCAATCGTAGTGGCTGTCTTTGTGTGCGTGTCGTAAGGATACCGGCTTTTCACCACCATGTGGGGAAATATGGGGAACTTGTACATGTGATTCTTTTCATATTTTTATATTTCCTATTTCGTACACAGAAGTAATAGTCGCTTGATAAAATTTAATATTTGATAATTCGCATGGTGTACGCTTACGAATTCGTTTTGAGAAATGTACAAGTTGTAGTTATCCTCAAAATTCTTGTTTCTGCAACAATTGCTTTTATAATCAGTCGATCGCTTTTGTAACACATCGATTTTCGATTTCCGACGACAAATTCATATTCATAGACCATATGGGCTCCCAGATATTAATTTTAAAAGCATCGATTAATGAACAAGAATTTTTAAAATGGCTGCCACTTTTTCAGTTTTCACGACGAATTCATATTCATAGATCACTTTGCCTGGCCTACTTTCCGGCATGTATCCTTGTAGTACACTGACCGCCTTCAGTTGTTAGGTGTTGAATTTTCTCCGGACCTCAACTTGGCCTCCTTGCAAGGTTGCGGCGGTACTTCACGCCGGGGCAGCTTCTTACCTTATAAAAGCGCAAGTCCGGTCGTGCATGCAGTACTGCTGTCACATATGAGCTGTTGCTGCAAAATGCCACCTGGCAGCGTTGGACTCAGTGGAGAGACGTGCTAAGAGGCTCATTGGTGTCCATGATTTGGTAAAAACCAATCTTGTCAGTCTCGAGCACAGGCGCAGAGTAGGTATTCTATAGGATGCATTTCGGTGAGTGTGCACAGGAATTACACGCTTTAATTCCTCCCTCACCTTTCTATCATAGGACAACCAGACTGTCGGCGGGTCTTCACCCCTTTGTTGTCTATATTCCACACATTAGAACCAAATGGTTTGCTTCGTCTTTTGTAATGCGTACAGCAAAGGAGTGGAATAATTTGCCGGCGTCTATCTTTCCGTCCGAATACAATCTGGGCGTCAAGGCAAGAGTGAATAGGCTTTTGTTACACTAAGATAGTGCGATTTACCATCTAGGACTGCATCACCACTTACCACCAGGTGGGATCGTGGTCAAGCACTGGCTCAAATAAATTTTGTCAACGCATTTGTTTTTCAAGATTACAGAGACCTTCAGATTTAGATTTTAGAAGATTTGTTCCATATTGCGGCAATTTTTTAAATTTAGATCTACATGCGGTGATATCGATTTTTAATCGATTAAAAAGGTGATCTGATTTTAAGACAATATTCATTATTATAAAAACTGGCCACGTGCGAGTCGGACCCGCGCATATAGGGTTCCGTACCATCGTAAACCAGATTTCTAGTAGGGGAGCCCCATTTAATTTTTAATTTGTTTTTATTTTTATGGTTTGTTGTTTTAACTGCAACAGAAATACAGATTCTGTGAAAATTTCAGCTGCTTTTAGATACAGCCCGCTGGCTCACAATAGGACGTACGGGACGGATAGTGGAGTCTTAGTAATAGGGTCCCCTTGGTTACCCTTCGGTTACGGAACCTGAAAACGATCTTTTGAAAATATTTTACTAATGACTAATTTTCTAATTTTATCTTAAAATCAGCCATCCGGTTTTACTGACACAGATTTGGGCAATTTTAAGTTTACTTAACACACCACACTGATAAAATTGAGACGTCAAAAAAAAATTAAGTAGTTATTTATTTCTTGAGATTGCACGAAAGCTTGTAATATTTAACGATAGTAGGTAACTTTAATATTTTTAATATTAATAGTAAATAGTATTTAATTTAAGTATTTTTTGTATTTTTAATTATTACGTGCACTCTCAACATTTTGCAGTAAACTAACTTATGGCAGATATACATTAGATGATATAAGCATTAAGGTTACAAGTTAACCGTTGGGAGAAAAACAATCCACGTGTGAGTTTTTTGCCACTCTCCTGGTTGAAGTTATAGCGTAGCTTTTCTTTCAAATGGTACTTTATTAGGCAGTTGTTAATAAAATTATTTTACTTTTACTCAAAAGCTTTTTTATATAGATTAACTGTTGTGGGCTGACAACAAATCGCTTTGAAAAATATCTCTCTTAAATAACCCCGCTTTATATTCCAGCCAAGCCACGGCACGAATGCGTTACTATATTCCTCTCGTCTCTCTGATGGTGGAGAACGCCTCACTTTGGATTTCGGCTGCAAACAGTTGCCCGAAGCTGACGAAGCCAAGAGCTTGAAGGCACCTCCCATTTTGGCACCTATTTTGCTGCCCGCACACAAGTGAGTTCACATGCAAATAAAATGACGTTGTCAATGATTTTGTGGTAAAGCTTACGTGAGAGATTCACGTAGCAGGGAGGATTTGCTATAATTGCCTCGCTTATTCGGACTGACGTGGTAGAGCCATGCTGCAGCTGTATTATGGTTGTAGCAAGAATGGGTCGGCTCACCCGGGGAAGGGCCACTCTCTCACAGAATACCAGCGTGAAATAGCACTTCAATGCTGCTGTGTTTCGTATGGTGAGTGTACAGAACCGGAGAGGAGACTCTTTTTACTGAAAGCGAGGCATTCCATCTTAGTCCTCAGGGGTGTGTTCTCAACATCTATATTTAGATTTTTAGTCGAAAATAGCTGTAGATGTCTATGGGCCACACCCTCCAATTACCATCAAATGGATTGTGTGCTCGTGTTTCACCCTATCGTATAAAAAAAAGAGATCTCGCTTTTGGATAGGGTGCTAGATTTGAACTGCCTCGTTGTTCTAGTGGTCGTAAGTGCGATAGTTGATGATGAGGTCCTGGGTTCGAAACCCGGGTAGGACGAATCAGGAAGTTGGTGGTGTTTCCTGTGCCACGGAAAGCACGTAAAGCCGTTGACACTGCGCCTGATCTCTCTCCCGTTTACCGTCCCATCGGACTATGAGAGTGAGGGAATAGAGAGTGCACCTGTGTGTGCATACACTTGGGCACTATAATCCTGTCCTGCGCAGATGGCTTGTTTCCAGTTGAGACTGGCCGGTGTGACCGAAATTCGGTCCGAATGACATTGTTATTAAATTTTGATGTACATTGGAGCTTTTTAAATATTCACAACTAAATAATACAAACAAACATAACTGAATAAAACCAAAATCAAATCGTCGATTACTGATAACTGTGTACGATACTCTTTGATCACTTATAATAATTGCTTTTATTTCAGATTTCGTAAGATTCTACCTTGTGCTTTCACGCCAAACGAGACGCAAGTCGCCAAAGAAACAAGGAGACCAGCCAACAAGCAGAAAGCCCCACCACAGGCCCTGACGGTTTGTATCATGACCATCTTGTATTATCTTAGGGAAGAAAGTTCCAAAAGATTCTACTGCCTGGTAGTGCGAATAGCTTCTTTTTTATTATTTACACATAGAATACAACACGATTACGTCTTTTGGATGTTCTATCTTTTTTCAACTCATCTCTAAATACTACATATAAAATATTATGCAACTGATATACAGGGTTATTTTGCAATAACTGGCCAAATTTGCAGAGAAGCTTCAGAACAAGCAATATAGGCAAATGGTGAAGAAAATCTTATTTAAAAAAAAAAACTCAAACATTCTCTCCTTTTTATCTTTTAAATTCAGAATACGTGGTAATGAAAAAAAATTAACTGATTTTACTCCGCACGCTCACATTCGCAAGGGTCGATCGGTAGGCAAAAACTTTGTTGCCCATAAATCACATTCAATTTGGGATAATTTCAAATAAAAGTAGAAGACGTATTTAAAACTGCAATAACGCAATATCATTGTTTATATATTTGAACTTAAATTTAAAATTTGGCTGCTCTTTGAAAAATAACCCTGTATAGAAAATGATTATTTTCTTTTAATTTTAATTTATTTGTATCTCTCCCCTTTTCTACTAAGAGTTGATCTTTCAATCGTCAGATAAAAGTTATCCATCGAATAAATTATAACCTGACTAAATATAAAAGTCAATTGAACCATTTTATTCATGCAACTGTAATCTTTCATTTGTTTGCGTGTAAACTTATATTTTACTTAGTTCGACGATAATTATTTACTATACAACAAGTATAATCACGGTACAATAATTATGGCCTTTACACGACTTGAGGTTACCCACGCCTTCGTTAGTTGAAACGAAAGTGTTTCTCCTTTGTTAATTTCTTGCTTCCCCAGAGTCAGCAACTTTACTCGCATGCCGTGTTATTGCCTACATTTAAATCTTACGCAGCAACTTCACACTGTTGCCGCGATGTTGCCAACATATGTTGTGTTTTATTTTATGAATAACTTATCTGAAGATTGTAAAATCGGCCCTTAGTCTTAGAATTTCTGATACATCGAAACTACCATTCAATTAAAGTATGATGCAATCTTAGATACAAATATTGTCAATTTAATATTTTGTGAGAGATTAAGTGACGCACAAGCCATCTCAATTTGCACCAAGCCCTTTCAATTAAACCAATACAATGGTTAGGCTATATTGACGTGCTGCAGCTATATTACTGGTATAGTTGTAGCACGAATGGGTCGACTCGACCGGGGAAGGACCACGCTCTCACAGAATATCAGCGTAAAATAGCAGCTTATCGCTGCTGTGTTTCGTTTGGTGAGTGTAGAGAACCGGAGACCCTTTTTTACTGGAAACGAGGCATTCCATCTTGGTCCTCACGGGTGACAACGCATCTGCATTTTGATTCGTAAACAAGGATAGACGTAGATGTCTATGGGCCACAGCAACCACTTACCATCAGGTGGACTGTGTGCTTGTTTGTCACCCTAATTCAATAAAAAAAAATTGAACCCTTGTCCTTGGCTTTGACTTTTAGTAAAACAAATAATAATTATAAAAAGTTTTGAAAATGAATGGTGGTTCAATTATTAATTGATATTTTTAAACATGCCGGTTTCCTTTGCTACTATTATAAGCCCCGCAAATTGCTAATGCGTCTGGCCGCCATTTTGGTGACGTAATCTTTTGACATTGAACACTCAGTACTGCGAAGTACTCTTATCGAGTTGTGAACACGCACATTTTTATTGTTATTTTTTCTAGTTATCTCGTTTTGTTTGTTATTATTGTTAAGTTTTTACGTTTTAATTATTTATCATCAATACAGAAAACTATAGTGAATCAGAGACAACAGACTCAGAAACCAATTCTATATCTGATTTAGATGATTTAGATTATATGAGTGGAGTTGAAGAATTAGGTTAAATTTTTTTAAATGTAAACATAAAATACACATTGCTAATTTTTTAAATAGTTGATTTCATTTGTAGCTTATCAGCATTATTATCACTGCCATCACACCGTCGAAACTATGTACGTTAAAATCGATTCAGCGGTTTAAACGTGGAAGTGACAGACAACAGTTACTTTCACATCAATAATATTAGTATAAATTTATTTATTTTTTGTTCTCTGTACTTTTTAATTGCGGATGACGTCACGTGGACTGTAATGTGACAAGGTTCCAGCGCATTACCAATTTGCGAGGCTTATAAACAATCATTAGTTATTTTCTGTGCATATAATTTTTAATTAATGTTGTTATTAAATACGCAGCAATAGTTTTATCGAAAAAAAAAACTGTATATTTTGTTTATGGATGTAGCTACAATGCTTGAACAATATTGTTATTTTTTCAATAATTATCGATAGGTATGCGTATTAAACATTTATATAATAGCAACACAATTTTTAAGATTTGAAACCTTATTTTATTGGATATAAATTCCATAATTGAAATTGAAGCTACATCCATATTATCTTCTATCTTAATAGCGAATTTATAATACAGCTTGGTGTTTATTTGTTTACCAACTTTGTACGAGTCTACAATAAAACATAGGAATATTATTACCAATAATTAAGATAGGATTAGGAAAGAAATATTATATTACTAGCTGGCCAGGCAGACGTTGTTCTGCCCTCTCCGACGACCCTGTGTCCTATAAAAAAAAATTAAATTCGTAATAAAAATATTGAGGATCATTTATAGGGATTAAAACTATCCTATCTCTCAAGGTGAATCAAACTGCACACAGTGTGTAAAATTTCATTGCAATCAGTTTAGTAGTTTATGAGTTCATCGCGGACAAACAATGTGACACGTAATTTTTATATATAAAGATATATTTAACTAGCTTGCTAGGCAGACTTTGTGCTGCCCTTTCCGTCGATCCCTTGGTCCTTTAAAAAATACTTAAATTAAAAATATTGAGGGGTACTTATCGGGATAAAAACTATCCTATCTCTCAAGTTGGAGCAAGGAATACACATATACAAAATTTCATTGAAATCAGTTCAGTAGTTTAGGAGTTCAACGCGGACAAACAATGTGACACGTAATTTTTATATATAAAGATATATTTAACTAGCTTGCTAGGCAGACTTTGTACTGCCCTTTCCGTCGATCCCTTGGTCCTTTAAAAAATACTTAAATTAAAAATATTGAGGGGTACTTATCGGGATAAAAACTATCCTATCTCTCAAGTTGGAGCAAGGAATACACATATACAAAATTTCATTGAAATCAGTTCAGTAGTTTAGGAGTTCAACGCGGACATACAATGTGACACGTAATTTTTATATATAAAGATATATTTAACTAGCTTGCTAGGCAGACTTTGTGCTGCCCTTTCCGTCGACCCTTGGTCCTTTAAAAAATACTTAAATTAAAAATATTGAGGGGTACTTATCGGGATAAAAACTATCCTATCTCTCAAGTTGGAGCAAGGAATACACATATACAAAATTTCATTGAAATCAGTTCAGTAGTTTAGGAGTTCAACGCGGACAAACAATGTGACACGTATTTTTTATATATAAAGATATAAAATGTAGTATATAAACATTGCATTATTTATATGCAAAACTGAAAGAGCATAATTCTTTCTTTATTTTTATTATACAACTTCCACTATAAATATATATATATATATAAATAAGATAAGCCCTAGTTCGCCTATCTGTGAGAAAGGTTCGTATCTACTTCTTTTAATTTATGGCAATCTCGTAGTGTGACTTTCTGGGTGAACTCGCAGTGAAATAACGCTGAGTTTCTTCACAAGCTACGTTTATTTGTACAAAATGCACTAAAATAATCGGACAACAAGGAATCTTTACAAACTCGAAAAACAGAATGTGCGCACGGCCTCGGATCGACTTCACCCTACCTTCCAAATTTTTGAATTTTTTCTTATGGATTCAGCCCACCTCGATATAGGGCGGATCGAGCGATATAAGGAAAGGACTCTCCTCCTATTCTCTTTTATATTCTAACTATTTATAGAGATATTTCTCACCTTAACTCTCGCAAGCTCACTAAGGACATTAATAACATAGTGAGGAAACCTGCATGTCTGAGAAATAAGAAAAAATATATTTCGAAGACATGTGAAGTTCGCCAACACGCATTGGGGCAGCGCGGCGGACATTTGATTGCCCTAAAACCCTCTCAGAAATGAGAGGAGGCCTGTGCCCAGCAGTGGGACGTAAATAGGCTGCAACTTTAACTAACTTTAACATCTTGTAAACACAAAGTCTATTGCCCTTGAGTCTGGGGGAAAATAAGGAGAGAAGAAATAAATAAAAAAAACATTCGAAATAATAATCTAGTACTTTAATACTTACTGGTACTACCAGAAAATATTGTGGGTATACTGGAATTTTTCAAAGTGGTGCGTTTCCCATGTCTAATAAAACAGTCGTCTGTGAAGTGTTAGAACAAAGATAATCATTTTGTTTCGGACGCCAATTCACAATTTTTTTGCTTTTTAGCCATAATTTTAGTCTAGGTTCAGTTGGAAACCTGTTAATTAATAAAAGTTTGATAATTATTTCTTGTCGGCGACTTTGGTTGTTAACAAAAATAGGTAGCAAAGAACACCAATAAGTATTATAGACAAGGAACTCGACAACCCTATTGAATTTTATTGTTTATCAAAACCCAGTAATATAAAGCGAAACATGTTGGTAATGACGATATTAATATTAGTAACAAATTTTTAAGTGCCTATATTATCAAATAGTTTTAATTTGTTTAATATTAGCTGTAAATTAACTTACTTGTGGAATGTTATCCCACTTTCCTTTTGGTAACGAGTTTTATATATTACGCACACTCACTATTACTAAAAATAATTCTTATTAAGTGGCGAAGCTTGCGAAGTCACTTATTGATTTCACGATGTCTGTCCGTCTGTCCCACGATTATCTCGAGAACGGTTTTAAATTTTCAAATTCTGTTTTCAGCAATCGATTACTGATCAGCATCTGAACCTCCTATTTTGAAACTGATTGCTCAACGGCAACCGTTAGAAACCGCTACAAAGCTGATTGCTTCGCCACTTTGCTATGCTTGCTAGGTTTTTATGTAACTAAAATCAAACATAATCAAACCACATAAAATACTTTCATTTTCTAGTTTAAATGTACAGAGATACGATTTAAATAACATAACAGACTTTGGCAAATTATGTAAATTTTAGTTCCCGGTACTGACAACGAGGGCGCTTCAAATCGGCAGAAGTATTTTGTATGGTATAACCAGTCCAGCGTACTTGTATATATAGAGGTCAGTTCTTTTACCTCAAATTAGTACAAATTTGTATATTTATAAATAGTAAAAATCTAATTGAATTTAAAACCGGAAACAGATCAAATTATGAGATAATACTACTTTATTTTAGGTAGTTGCAAATTCAAATTGATTTACCTTTTAATATTGAAAAATATACAATAATTAAGAAAACTAATAACTTATTATCATACAGGCCTACTGATACTGTACCGTGGTATCGTGCCAAGAACGCTGGCCGCGTTTTAATTCATTCTCGTATTGGAATTGGTATATGTAATAACAAAGACAAACTCAAAATTCTTTTTTTTTATTCCACACAATTTCTTAATATTGGTAATAATATTCTTGTGTAGTTGACCATAAATATAAATAGTTAAGTTCAAATCAAATGTATTTATGTTTGTCAAAAGTGTATATATGTATGTTTGTTAAGTAGGTTCCGTGCGGACCTAGCAACGGGCTAAGTTTGTTCTGCCTGGTTTCGTTTGTATTCGAACAGTTACCAAAGACTAGAGAGCACTTATAGACAATGAAAAATTGTCTATCAAGCATAACGTGTTAACTTGACTGTACTCTTTTTGTTGCCGTTAACTTTATTTGTTATATCTGAAACTACAAATCAATACATACTTTAACTACTAATATAAGTAGGTGTTGCCAGTAACATATTAAAAAATGTTTTTATTTTATTGAAACTAATAATTATTTTTTAATTTGCCGTGTGACAGTTGCGTAAGAGAATCCATCACCAAGACCATTTCGTGGGGTCGACTACGAGAAAAAGGCAGAAAAATATTTATGCCCTCTAGTAGATGGCGGTATAACCAACTCGTTTACGCCAAACGTAAAATATTGAGAAAGGTGGCAAAGCAGCAGAGTTAAAGCTGACGTTTGGCACTGCGATCGTCGATCCATCTACCAAGTGTGATGGTTTATGTCGGCTTTCTATATTTAAAAATGTTTCGTTTTCTTTTGCGAGCCGTTTTGCAATAAATGAGGAGCATGTAAGTTTGTAAGTCCCTTTTTTAAAACAAAAGTTCGCTTACTTATGAATCGCTAAGTTTTTATTTTTTCATTTTAAGTCATCCTAAATTGCTGAATGAATAGTTTATATTATAAACTGTTTTTACAAACGGATCGTTACCGACAACAAAACGTTTCTTGGATAAAGGAACCGGGTATTACGGTAGGGAGTTTCCCTACGACAGTAGTGAAAGTTTTTGTGAAATTTTGAAGTTTTAAAGATAGTTTTAAAAACAATATTCACCATAATATATATGCAAAGTAAATGGCGACAATGAGAGTACAGCATTATCTTACAACAACTGTGATAGTAATTACCTTTTGTGAACATAACACAAACAAAGTGTTTGTATATTTTCAACTAATTTTTCATGTGTGCGTGTTGTTTTGGTTGTTAGTTGGAAGCGGATGCAGGAAGCTACGGGAACGTTAAGGTACCATCACTTGGGATTGCGCGATGTGTCGCGAACCGTTTTAGGGATATTACACGTGAATCTTGGAGCCTGCGTAAAGTATTACGTTGTTAAGCCTCCACCTTGGGCACTAAAACAATACATCCAAACTAATTAAAGCCAAAAAGAATTAACAATTTTGTCTTTGGTCACAGGACAGTTTTTTAACATATTTAATATGAAACACGTCCAACAGATGTCGCTACTGTCTTTGGTAATTGGTCAATATTTTTTTATCTAAATTTTTTTTAATGAATTAGATCTATATTATTTATTCCCTCCTCCGTCACAAGGTGAAGCCTTAACATGAGATATTATTAATATTAACGACATGCATCTTATAAAGAAGAATGCATTCAACAAAAACTGCTCAAAAATACTGAATACGATTGTTCTAAGAAAGTAGGTGAGTTACATTTTCAGTATAGACTAGTAATGGACTGTCATATTAAGCAGTATTGCATGTGGTGTTGACAGTTGTTAAAAAGAAAAAATAATAGAACCCGCGATAAAGAATGGTATCATAAATGGTGTTGCTTCTATTAGCCTCTCGCTTGCACATTGTGGCGTCTTACTCACACTCGCCGGTATCGACCACAAAAAAAAACCGCCATCATGCGTTGCTATAAGCGTTTTTATGCGTAACTTCAGATCCGAGCAACAGAACATAATTTTATGTATTTAATTGTTTTACGTATCGTAATGATTAAATTACTAATAAAAATATTTGATAATTGATTCACCCCCTATTGTAATATTCAGTTAATATTATAATTATATAATTCAATTGATTTTAATATAGTAATCAGTTTTAATTATTTAACTAATAAATTCCAATTAAACTAAATATAACGTTTTAATAAATATATCGTTTTTGGAAGAAAACTATATAAATTGTTATTAGATTTGTTGTCGCATAGTTAAAGTACCGTGTAGGCTGACAGTGCAGGCCTGACGAACCGCCATTTCTAATTCCATTCTTTATCTGCACGGGTAATAATTTTTTTTTAAGTTAATCAACGGTCCGGAGCTAACACTTGCATCTGACAAGTATTAGCTGCAAATTACTTACATTTAGTAACTTGCACAGTCACACACACTACATATTAAAACCTCATTCCAAACGCGCATGAAGGTTATGGTGTGTGCTCTGGTGCTGTGCAAGATTTCTTGTTCTCATTTGATGTTACAAATATACAGTATATAAAATATTCTCCGGCATGCAAATTCCGCAAGTTTTACATTTATTTAATTAAAACACTTTTTCTATATGATCATACCTGGAGTAATGACGGGATTACTATGATTTTTTTCATTTAAGATTAGTTTTTAGTGTAATGAATTGCCTCGGACCAACAACCCAATGGACTCTGCAGAAACTTTTTTATAGATATATCTCCTTGCTTTTGCGACGTGCGTTGAGGCTATGCCGCGTTCTTACATTGAATAAAACAATTTTTTGTACGATTTTTTTTATTTTTGTTCCAATAAAAGAATATTACTGGAATTAATTTTGATAGAACGTCAAATAACTGAATCTTTACTTGACCATGCATTACTTCAAAACACTGAACGTTCGGGAGTATGAAATGCTGACCACAATAAATCTGGGGAAAAAAATTGTTTGCATTCAATGTATTCCGAATGATTCGATGACGCATTAGAGAGGTACGAGTATCTATCGCGTCACGTCTTACTTATTTTAATTATTATTTTACTACTTTCTCTTCATGTCACTTTCTGAATATGATAGTTTTTTTTTTATAGCTGTACAAATATTTTTGCCCCACAATATAATGGGACAAGTAGACAATTTGATACTGATTTCAAAATATTTTATTTTTTATACTTACGATGTATGAATGCTAGCGATTATTAGTTGTAAGTGATATCTTTTTCAATAATACTTGTGTTTAGCTCAACATACGAGTCCAGTAGAGTCCATGGGCTAGTTAGGCCGAGTTATGGCAATTGAATATGAAATTTGATCATTTTCGTTGTTCAATGTTTAATGTGATGAAAAATCTAGCCTGGATACGGTACTAAACTAACAAATATGTGCCTAAACACATGAGTAATATTATTCTCCAAGGGATGTAAAGAATGATACCTGATGTGCGGTCCTAAACAGATGGGGCAATAACTATCTTTCATATTTGGATACTTTCAACCTTTTTTTACACTCGGCTGGATGTAGACCTTTTTAATAATTCCCAACTTTAACCTTAAAATGCTAAACTCACCAAACTAGGCAAACGAGTTATGTTTTCCATCACTAATCTATTGAATTTGGGTTATTGGATACACAACCCAAACCTATCTGTAGATTTTAGGTACTTTGATTTCTAAGCGATAAAGGTCTACGAATTTGAGAGGCCACAACAGTGGACTGCTGATTTTTTATATCAATGAATAATATAGTAGACTTCATAAAAAAAAAATTAGAACAAAATCATGATTTTGTACATTTAACTATAAACGGTTCGGTTCGACCACGAAAGAACAACGACCGCATGTTGCGTGACTAGATCCGGAGATCCTTTACTGGTAACGTGGCGTTTCATTTTAGTCTTCAGGGATGACAACACATCTACATGTTTTTAATCGAGGATAGATGTAGGTGTCTATGGGCCACAGCATCCACTTAATATCAGGTGGGATGTGTGCACGTTTATATAAACCAACCATTGTTCCACTATCCAGGTTAGAACTCAGTTGTCTTATAGTATTTATCACAGGGTTTTTGTTGCAGTGGCCAAAGAAGAGGGGAAAGAAATCTAAAAGAAAGAATTAAACCTTAATGCAATATTAAATATGTATGTTAGTACTTGGTTTGTTTTATTTGTCAAGCTACATATATTTATTAACATATTCGTGATTCGTTAGTGACAAGCCAAGTAACAACCGACCATGTTGTGGCGGTGTAAGAATATCCACTGCAGCTACACCATATCATCTAGTGTATGTAGTAAGAGGCAGAGGAAAACAAAACAGGAGAAGGGCAGCAGCATATTCCTATTAACAACAAACAATGTACCTGTAAACTATATTGGCTTTCTTATCCCTCAAGCCGAATTACAGCAGTAGCTGCAATGCTGTTAGGCGGCAAAGCTAGGCAAGGTTATGGTACTACCCAAATCAACTTACAAAAAAGCAGCACTACCAACAAGAACGACTAGAAATCTCACCGATCCAAAATATTCCATGTCATTTAAAAAAAAACACGTTATTTAGATTGTGTTGTCCACTCGAGCAATTTTGCCAACTTACAAAGTTATCAAATGCCAACAGGATATTATAGAGGAAAAAACATATGGACAAACGGAAGCACCTAGATGAGTAAGGACGTTCCCAAGTAACAAAAAGTCTCGCTTGGTTTCTTGCTGGTTCTTCACAGGACTAGCGGTAAATTAAACATAAAAGTAACTTTCAATATGTATTGTTTATAATCTATATTCAATAAGACACGTGCGATAAGACCGAAGCAGACAACTGCAAGGTTAGCTTAGTTACTTTCTATTGATAACGCTAGCAGAGAACTATAAAAATGAATCAGAATGACACATCTCGTGGAGTCACATGACATTCATGTGACTTACCGGTAATATCATTCACTTTACTTAGCCCCACAAAATTCCAAAACCGACGGTTTGTTTATTAAGTACAAGAATTTTACCCCGCCATACATTTGGATAGACCGGTTATTCCGTTTATCCACACCGGGAATTTTCATATTACTTTTCTTCCGATTCCTCACTCAGCTATGTAGACATTTATAGAAATGTGATAAAAACTGATCCAAGATAGTAGACATTAGCATACCTATAAAAATATATACATACATACATCTTGTTTGAAAGGTCAAAGTAGAAATAACAGGAGTGCTTTACAGGGCTAAAAAATTAATTGGAATCTTGGCATAAAACAATTTTAAATTTAGTTGAAGATGTACATTCGAAGCTTTTGGAATGCTTGCAAAAAACGTCCAGTTTTTCGATAACTCGATTTCAATGGCTGTTGAAGCAAAGAAACAGAAAACGTTCGCAAATATACATTAAAAGATAAGAATTTATCTATGATATAAAATCAATATGAAATTAGTTTTGGCACAGAATTAATAATAGTACAAAACAAGAACAAAAGAATCACTCTCTGATAGCAAACTTGCGAGTTTAAACATAGTAACAATGTAGTTAATGTTCTAATACTTTGCACGACTCGGACACGATCTTCGTTAAAATAGCCTCCCGATAAAATCGGCGAAAAAAAATTAATGCGACGAAATGAAAATGCACCTAACGTCCGCGTGCAATGATCTGTATCACATAGCCCGTTACGCGCCTTTGTTAATGCCGCTCCTACTAAGGGTTAGGTGTTGTGAGAAAACAAATTGAATTCTTTAATATTAGTTGGTAATAGAATACACCGAGGTGTTATGCAATGTATTAGTAATTTTCTGATAATGACTTTCTGAAAAAAACTAGATACACAATTCCATGCAAAAGTTCTCTAAAAACTGTGGCGAATTGTTTTAACACGCGAGTCGTGTCTTTTTAAAAATATTCATTATTTTGCAAGTAGTTCATGCCTGCAGCTTCGTTTCTGGATATTTTGAAAATTTGAAATTTTTAGGAGTTGACAACCTTTTTTTAACTTGTACATGGTAGTCTTTTTACTTTGTGGGTTTCAATCATGTTGTTTAAAATAGTCAAATAAGTAACAAATAATAGCACTCTTGCGATCGCTCACAAATTCGAGTTGTAAATAAATTTCTGGAAAACAAGTCTCCTGTTAAAAAAAACAATGCGTTTGTCTTATTGTTTAATTTTGCTTAAAATGGTTGAACTGCCGTCTTATTACTATTATATGACCGAATAGACCTACGAAGTACCATGTGCTCTTGTGATATGGTATAAGGTTTATTTTTGCTTGAAACAGTTTGAAACCGTTCTTGTATAAAAAAGTTCGCTAATAAATAGTATTTTGTCAATCCGCCGCCGTATAGCGCCGGCGTTTATTTCCTTTTGAAAACACATGTTTTGCTATTCTTACTAATTAGACGTTTTCAGATCGGC